TCCAACTGATGAGAAAATGAAACCATTTATTCGGGTATTGGACCACCAAGGACCTTTAAATTCTCCCAGTACCGCGTACGCAGAGCTTCACTGTATTTATATGGAATTTATTTTATATATATATATATATATATATATATATATATATATATATATATATATATATATATATATATATATATATATATATATATATATTTTTTTTTTTTTTTTTTTTTTTTTTTACTAGAAAATAGAAAAAGTAAGAAAAACAATTTTTTTTTTTTTTTTTTTGCATTGTGATTATTAAATTTCTGTACCTAAATACTGTTGGACCAGGGAGGTGTCCGATGTCTTGCAAAATTTAGTTCCAACGCCAATCAGATACACCTGGGCTAGCTAATCAAGGTCTTACAAGGCTTTCTAGATACATCCTTTCAAGAATGTTGAGGCAAGTTGGAGCTAAATGGACACCGGCCCTCCAGGACCAATCTCGTCCCATCGACGGCCCACACTCACATGACATTCGCGCCTGGGCAAGCTTACATCATCGAGCAGAAAAACAAAATATCGCAATATTAGCTCATTAGTCGTCAGTCTGAGTGCTTGCTACGTAAGGGTAGGCATGGGACAATAACCGTTTTCAACCGCGGTTTGGAAAAGTCAAGGTTTTAAAACCACCAAAATTTTCTGTAATACCGTTTCTAAGTTATGTGTAATATTTTTTATTTACACTTTTTTCTTTTTAGGACAACAGTATCTCAAGCAGAAAATATATCCAAAGATGCCGTATTAAATTGTAAAGAAGTCTGTGTTTTTGAAACTAATGAAGACAGAAGAGGTCAATGATTCATTTGAATTATTTACCCTGACTTGTTTACTGCACCAAAATATTTAAAAAGTTTGTCAAAATAAAAGATATTGCTTTCAAAGGAGAAAAAAGTTTTTTACCCAGACATTTAAAAAGAATATATTTTATCACAATGCCGTGAAACCGTGATATTTTTATCCAAGGTTATCATACCATCAGAATCTAGCTCAAACTAAACGTAAAACCCAAAACAAATTTGTGCAAGTAAGGCATAAACCAGTACTTTACAATCACAACAACTAAGGCAGATAACAAGGCCGTATACTCAGATTCATAGCAGCCGCATTTGCACTATTATGCCTAAACTAACCGAACTAAAGAGTCAGGTACCATTCCAGCTGAGCCTAGATCAATTACAAAGCGTACTCGGCTTGGAATTCTAGGCTTGGTTAGACAACTGTGCACTGTAGCCTGGTTGTCAGCTTCTCCATAAATGACTAGGCGGAATTGCATATCGTTATTTGTTTTTTGTTGTACAACAAAGTAAAGTAAGAAATAAAGATTCCCCAAAACCGAAATATCTAATCCTCATCCATATCAGTGTTTGTATTACATTCCAGAGAGCTCAATTTTATCAGCACCACAGTGGAAAATGAAACCCTATCTGTGCTGACTGGTAAGGATTGGCTCGGAATGGAAGAGTAAAACAAACAAAACCATTTGGTCCGATGTTGGAAAAATGGCCTGCCCTGGTATGCATTACACGGTGTTTCTCCTCAGTTTTTCATCTTTTTAACAATATTGTCATATGTTAGCAACATTTTCAAAATGCCCAAGAAAAACATTATAGTACATCAATGTCTTGTATAGGCATGGGACGATAACCGGTTTTAAGGTTTACTGTGGTTTGTAAAGGTCAAGGTTTAAATTCTTTGTTATACCATTCCTAAGGCATATGTAAGGGTTTTTTTAATGTATTTTTTATTTGTTGTAAAGAAATCTGTTTTTGAAAATAATGAAGAAAGCAGAGGTCATGATTTATTTTAATTATTTAACCTGGCATGTTTACTGTACCAAAATATTATAAATGTTTTCTAAAATAAAATAAATTGTTTCAATGGGAATTTTTTTAAACCCAGACATTTAAAAATAACTTATTCTAGAGCAGTAATCACAATATCGTAAAACCATGGTATTTTATATGACTAGTCATGTGACCACCAAAATAGGCAAATCATGATCATTACTCAGTAGATGATGACAACTAACTGTTAAAAAATGCATTTGTTTCATAGAGTATAAAATAAGTTAATTCTTTATGATTGAGTCATTGAATCCTTTAATTAAACTTAATTAGTAAAATAAATGGTTGTATTTTAAAGACATTCATTCATTTTCTTGTCGGCTTAGTCCCTTTATTATTCCGGGGTCGCCACAGCGGAATGAACCGCCAACTTATCCAGCAAGTTTTTAAACAGCGGATGCCCTTCAAGCCGCAACCACACTCACACTCATACACTATGGACAATTTAGCCTACCCAATTCACCTGTACCGCATGTCTTTGGACTGTGGGGGAAACCGGAGCAAACGGAGGAAACCCACACGAACGCAGGGAGAACATGCAAACTCCACACAGAAACGCTAACTGGGCCGAGGCTCGAACCAGCGACCTTTTTGCTGTGAGGCAACAGCACTACCTACTGCGCCACTGCTTTGCCCATTTTTAAGATATGGTGCTGGAAAAAGAAAATTAATGCAGTGCTTCTTGTTAGGTCTGACCGCCTGAGACCAACTTTATATCATATATCAGGCAGTGGACCTCATTGATTTTTAAAGATAATGATTTTGTTAATGCAAACAGTTCACCAGAAGAGCTTGACCCAGGTTACTGCAAAAGAAAAGCCTTTTGCATAATTCTGTATAGCATATTTGAAAAAAAGTCTATGGATAAAATATGCTTACTTTACAAAGTTTCTCATATGCCATTCCAAACTGTATAATAACGTAATTACTTGATAATGTCTATTATCAGTAGGAAATTGTTGATTGGTTAGTTAGAAAAACAAATTCTTCAGTTCTTCATTCTTTCATTTATTTTCCTTCAAATTAGTCCCTTATTTATCAGGATTTGCCACTGTGGAATGAACCACAAACTATAGTGGCATATGTTTCACGCAGTGGATGCCCTTCCAGCTGCAACCAATCACTGGGAAACACCCATACACTCTCACATTCACTACGGCCAATTAAGTTCATTCATATCACCTATAGTGCATGTCTTAAAGTTAAAAAGAGGTAAAGTTGGTTTTACATTCGCACATTCAGTCAGTGACAGGTTGTGGTATGCTCCCTATATTGTTTACCATGGTATTTTGAATATTGGGTCTGAAATCACATGTTAGTATGTAGGCATGGGACGATAACTGTGTTCAAGGTATGCAGCGGTTTGGAAAAGTCAAGGTTTTAAAACAGTTAAAATTTTCTGTAATACCGTTCCTAATTTATGTGTAAGATTTTTTTATTTACTTTTTTCTTTTGTTCGTTTTTAGGGACAATAGTGTTCTTTTTAGTGTTTTTGAAATAAATGAAGACAGCAGAAGTCTAAAATTCGTTTAAATTATTTAGCCTCATGTTTACTGCTCCAAAATACTTTAAATGTTTCTCAAATGAAAATATATAGTGTACAAAGGGGAAAATGTTTTGTTTTTTACCCAGACATTTAAAAAGAATATATTTTAGAGCAATAATCTCCATACCGCGATACCGCAAAACCGTGATATTTATATCCAAGGTTATCATACTGTCAGAATCTTATACCAGCCCATGCCTATTAATATGACTTCAAAACAACATCAGACCTATTTAACTGTGACTGTGAACCATGTTGTACTTTGATTGTCATTAGATGTTAAATTAATTTTAAAATTTAGAGTTTGCGAAAAATGATTTTGTGAAATTAAATTACTAAGGAGAGAGTAAGCACCGGAGCACCCGGAGGAAACCCACACCAACACGGGGAGAACATGCAACTCCACACAGAAATGCCAACTAGCCCAGCTGGGACTCGAACCAGCGACCTTCTTGCTGTGAAGCAACAGTGTTCAATTATTTTATTTATGTTTAATACATTTTTACTATTTAAGGTTCCTGTAATTTTGATGTGGTTTTATCATTGTGATTGGTTTTGTTTATTTTACATAAAGCTGAAAGAAAATGTTAGAACCTCTAAATGAAAACTAGAATTGATACAGGTAAATGTATTTTTTGTTAAATTATCAAAATGACTACAATTTACTTGAAGCATACTAATGAAGTAACTAAATGAAACATAAAGAAATACTATAACAGTGTTTAGATAATACTAAAACAATAATGAGAAGTAAATGTACTTTGTGAATGTTTTAGACCAGATCGGACATATAAATAAATAAACATACATACAAATACATAATCGTCAATCTTTCAATATTTCATTCATTTCGATGACCTTTTCCATCCCTGGAAAACCTTTTAAAAGCCTCAGAAATTGTATATAACCTTTCTAAAACAAGTTTATATTAGAATACTGCATTACGTCCTTAAGCAGCTACGAAATGCAGCAATAAATGAGCAGATTAATCGCAGTAATAATGGGATAATCTGTGTGGACTGAGCGGAGCAGAGAGGGCGCAGCCTCACAGATCATATGCTATCAGTTAGCATTTGTTTTACATTCAGATCAATCGATTAATTAACACATTACAGTCAGAAAATAAAACATCGACACAACAACCAAGCGTAAAAAATAAGCTACATTTTAGTGAAAATAAAAAGACAACTGGACACATAAAAGACTGCTGGGTTTAAAGAACAAACCTAACTTCAGCTGTGCTTTTAGCATTCACTGGTTTCAGTCATTTCACAATATCTTCTCTGTCAGCAGTCATCGCTAGGATATAATTAAAGCAACTCACCTTGTCATGTCTGGGGAAAAGCTAAATGAAAAGAGAATATGTTTGTTTATGTTGACTAAAGCAGCAAGTTCGATCCACGGCATTGAATTAACAGAGTCCAACAACTGCTTCCGGGTCAAAATGCCTGGCACAACAAAAGTAGGGAATTACAGAGTAGCCGTTCGCGGATTTTGTGTTTCTGTAATGCCATTTCAAATAACGTATAGACACAGATAGATATATGGTTTTAGTTGTGATTCCCTTATAATGAATGGACCGCGTATAAAGGAAATATTTTTTTAAAAAGAATCCAAACAGAGACGATTTTACGACGTTACGTTTTACGACTGTTTTCCTTGTTGCCTAGCAGCAGCGGCAGCGCAAGAGGAACCCAAGATGGCTTAATAAGGTCTGAAAACGTTATTTTCAGTGTCTTTAGTTTCACAAATATGTGTAAAAGTTGACATTAAGACGTGTTCAAATTTAGGTTTATGCTAAAGAACAAAACCAACCCAAATACGAGCAATTGCATGCATTTCTAATTATCGACATTGTGAGAACTAACTAACGTTATATGTCTGGCTAATATATTTAGCATGGCGTTTTGTCGTTTATTTATTATTCTGCTATGACTCTTTTGTGCTGTGACGGTATATGGTGTTGTTTTCAATGAGAAGTCCGTGTGAAGAAATAAACTACATTCGTTTTGCATGTTGTCTGTAGGTAGAAAAAGACTGGCAATCTCAGCATCAGTTGTTCAGTTCAGCTCTGGGGGACATTTGCAGCTGACCTGAAGAATGCCTGCGGCCGCAGACTGGCGGCTCCTCATGGGAATGGATCCAGAGGATCTGGGGGATGAGGATGAGAAGATCTGTGATTTGATTTTAATGGTAAGCTGACACGTTTGAGGCACACAAATTGTGAGGAGTGTAGCTAGATGTTACAACAATCTGCAACTACAATACAACAATCTGGAGTTGCAATTATTAAAGAAACACTTATATATATATATATATATATATATATATATATATATATATATATATATATATATATATATATATATATATATATATATTTTTTTTTTTTTTTTTTTTTTTTTTTTTTTAATGATCACACACACAATATGTGATCATTAAAAAATGTATTTTAGACTCAACATTCTTGAATAGAATTATGGTTGTGTAAATTAGTGTTTCTGAAACACATTCCTGTGGGACCACCATCATTGCATGTTTTGGGTGTCACACTCATAACAGATAGAGGTAAAGTTGGTTTTATATTTGGATATTGAGACATTCTCATTAGTAATATAATTTAGATAACTTCTTTGCAAATTTTTAATAGAGAAATCTTATTAGCAGCAAATAACTATCAAAGTACAGCATTGTTCACAGTGAATTAGATAGTGTTAATGTTGATTAGGAGTCATACGAATATTCAAAGTAACATGGTAAACAATTTAGGGACTTCTAAATGAACGAATGTGCGAAAAGAAAACCAACTTTACCTCTATCCATTACAGGCCTTTCAGTCTACTAATGAGCTAATGATTTGAATTTGGTGTGTTTGGTTAAGAAAACATGGAAAATGTGCAAGGCTGGTGGTCCTCTTGGAACGTGGTTGAGAAACACTGGTGTATATAACTCATTTTGATATTACCCAATATGTTTTTAGTACAGTGGAGGGTAAGATAAACATAATTAGTAAGGACAAATTACATATTTTTTCTATTTTGTTAAACCGTTGTTTACTGAATAAATTGCATCTGTTAATCAGTTATAACTGCAATTTATTTTTCACAAAATATAAATATGTTGTAAACTATACTGGGAGCTTTATTACTTACACATTTCTATCATTTTAAACGCTACAATTAACAACTGGACTCAGACTGTGCAAAATAAATTAAATTATATGCAATAGTTAAAATGGCACTTTAGACAGTTTTTTCATTTATACATATTTATTTACACATACTATATATATTGGATATATACTTGATCAAAAGAGATTTGGTGTATGTTTTTATATTTATATATTTGTTTGTGTTTTCTGGTTTTATTTTTTTAGTAAATAAATGATAAAATAATATTTAACTACTATTAATACAAACTATTTAGTGTGAATATGTGAAGTTACAAACTTAATGCTCAGTTATTGTGTGTGTTTGTGGTTGCATGTTCAATAAAATATTTATTATTTATTCTTTCAAGCCAAACCATAGAGTATCTCCAGCCTCAGGTCTTGCTTTCAGGCTAACATCCGCTTATCGGAATGTTTAAGGAAGAAAACATTCTTCTTGCAAATTTGTCTGACAATGAATTTCTTTTGCATACAGGTCAAACCACGGGACCTAAAAGCAGATGATTCTGAGAAAATGATTCAACTCTTTAGGATCTCACAAACCCTTCTGAGGGTAGGGCTGATTCATTATTTGACGCAATGTTTGCAGCACTGCGTACAGTAGTTATGTAGTAGTTAACATTTACCAGATTTCTTTTAATTATGTTGTCTGGTCATTGAATTATCATGAGCATTTGTTGTTATGAATCCTTTTAGTTAATGTTATTATTTATGTTTGGGTTTTTAGATGAAACTGGATGAAATTAAATGTGCCTATGAGGTTGTAGACAGCGCAGGGGCAGAACAAGCAAGAATTGGTATGTATAATCATTGCTAGGTTTTAAGCATCTCCAGACCAAATCACAGCATGTGAAAACGCAGCATGGAAAACGCAAAAAAATTTCATTGCAGACAATATAAACACAAAATATTTCATGTTTTGTCTGGTCAATTTCAATTTCATTTAAATATACATCCCTTCCTGTCATTCATACCTGCAACACATTCCAAAAAAGTTGTGACAGGAGCCGTTTAGGGATAATAATCTGGTAAATTGGTTAAATATTGATGTGATTTGAAACAGGTGATTTCAACAGGTGATTGTAATTATGATCTGGTACAAAAACAGCATCAAAGAAAGGTCTAGTCCTTTAGGAGCAAAGATGGGCGGGGGATCGCCACTTTGAAACAAACACATAAGAAAATTATTAAAATGTTTCAAAACAAGGTTTCTCAAAGAAAGATAGGAAGACATTTGAAAATTTCACCTTCAGTGCAAAACATAATTATAAGATTCAGGTAGTCTAAAGGAATTTCAGTGTGTAAAGGACAAGGGTGCAAGCTTAAGCTGAACTATCATAATCTCAGATCCCAGCACTGTATCAAGAATCGTCATTTATCTATAAGTAATATCTCCACATGGGCTCAGGACTACTTTGACTAACATTTTCCACAATATGTTACATCCACAAATGCCAGTTAAAACTTTACTGTGCCAAAAGGAAGCCCTATGTTAACAGTGTCCAGAAGTGCTGTCAACTTCTCTGGGCTCTGAGACATCTGGGATGGACCATCACACAATGAAAGTGTGTGCTGTGGTTAGATGAATCAGTATTTCAGGTATTTTTGGGGGAAATTAAATACCTTGGCAAAGGTTACTTGCACTTCTGTGATGGCACCATTAATGCTGAAAAGTACATGAAGATTTTGTAGACAATATGTTGCCGTCTTTTCCAGGGACCCCCATGCACATTTCAACAAGCCAATGCAAAACCACATTCTGCACACATTACAAGTCCTGGCTGCGGAGAAAGAGGATACAGGTACTTGACTGGCCTGTATGCAGTCCGAACCTGTCTCCAATAGAGAATATGTGGTGCATTTTGAGGGCACAAATTGCAACAATAAAGATCATGTGCTGTTGCCCACTGTAAGGCTTGCAGGAAGAATGGGACAAGATTACACCTGAAACACTTTATCAATTTAGTGTCTTCAGTCTGCAAACGTCTTTTAAGTGTTGTGAAAAGGAATGGCACCATACAAAGTGGTAAATGCTTTACTGTTCTAACTTTTTTTTAAATGTGTTGCGAAAACCAAACTTGGAATGTGTTTATTTAAAAAAAAATAACAATGAGGAACAGATCAAATAATGTGTGTTGTATTGTCTGAAATAAAATTAGTCAATGTAAATTAGACATTTCTTTTTTATTTGGGTTTTCCATAATGTCCCAATCTTTTCTGATTTGAGGTTGTACCATTTCTGTAAATGAATTATTTATAATTAATTATTGTTGTTTTTGATGTCATTCACAACCAGTAGAAAACTACAACAACACAATCAATTCCAGAGGGACAAAATCAAGTCCCGCCCCACTTTTCTTTTTGAGTTTAAGATTTTTGAGCCCAGTTGAGTTTTGAGTTTGTGTCCACTCAAGTATTCGTCACAGTAGTGTAGAAAAAAAATTGCAAATTTCATGCCTATTTGGCAAACCTAAGGATGAAATTATCTAACAAAGTCTTAGGTCCTACAGCTTTGTGAGGAGGGTAATTGTTTATATTTTGTTTTATTGATTGCAGAAAATGAGCTGAAAGCCAAAGTCTTAAAGCTGGAAAGTGAGCTGGAGGTAAGGGAGATGTTTGGCTAAGTGAATACAGTTCTAAAAATTTGATTGCCAGTACAGTATTTGTTGTTTGTGAGCATGTGCTGTGTCTGTTTACAAGCACCGACTTAAGAGGATTAAAGGCTTAATTCCACGTTTATTGCCATCTATTACTAATCTAATTGTTCTACACATAACATTTCTATTGTTATGTTCATTATTGTGAAAAGAAGTGGAATTTCATGCAACCCACCAGCATCAGAGATCTGTACAGATGGAGAGTTTTGGGTTTTGGGTCTTGGGTCTTGAGCTTTATTCAGATCTGCCTCACTTCCTGTCCAGATGGCCCAGCGTGTGATGGGAGGGGGAGACAAACATTTTCTGCGGGATGAAATTCGCCAACTGGAGAGTCACCTGGAGCGCAAGGAGAAAGAGGTGACCCAACTTGAGAAGGAAATGGGCAAGGAAAGGAAATCCAATGAAGAGGTAGGCAGCACTTTTAATGAAAGGTGTACAAACTAACTTCAAAAACCCTGCAGTCTGTTTTTATCATATTATTATTATTATCATTATTATTATAATTTTAAAACATATATACAGTTGTTCTTGAAAGTGTACTGTACATGCCCCCTTGCAGAATGCTGACAAATATTAAAATGTATACATTACCAGTTTAACTTAACTGGAACTTACATGGTCATATTTACAAAAAATTACAAAACAAATCTCAAACCAAAATGGAGAATTTAAATATAAAATAAAATAATATATATATAACTCTTATTAAAATTGTACATTTATCAATGTATTATAATAATTTAAAGTAAAACTGATGATAAAAGGCAAATGGAGTGAGATTAATTTCAATACGTTTTTCATAATAGAGAAAACCATTTGTTTTTGAATGCAAGAAGTCAGATACTGCTACTATAAATATCGTTGTATTATATTATTATCATTGTATGTAGTTAAAACGAGCAAGTTATAATTCAACCAAAATATCATTGAATAAATGTTTTGTTTATAAAAACGTATGCATTTTGGGAGAGAAAATACGGAATAATAATTCTGCAGCTGCATGTGCATGACTGACAAACTAAAACATTGATTGCATGTTTTCCGTCTCCCAGCTGGCTCTTCGTGCAGAAGAAGCAGAAGAGAAGAACAGGAAACTAAAAAGAGAGGTATGTCCAATCCTTTTCGGAGCGTGCATAATGCTTTTTGGGTACATCTTAAATCTTTCTCTGTATGTTATCTGTTCCAGCATCTCTCATATATCACCATTATTCACTTCACTCCTCAGCTTTATTTCTTGTCTGTCCATTTCATTTTCTACGCATGCTTGTTATCATTTTCTGTTACTCGTTTCTTTCCTCGCTGTCATTTGTTGTCAATGCCCATCAAGATAAAGCAGCTTACGAGGAAGGTAAGACCCCAGATTAGCCAGAATTAGAATAGACAGGCTATTTATTTGAAACATGTATATGACAAATGGAGCGGCACCACTTGCCTCGTATAATATGGCCATCACAAAAAAATGTCTTTGACTGTGATTCTGTTGAAGGCTTTATTTATGAATGGATGATGAATGTTCAGAGGTATGTGATTATTTTCTGGGAAATGAGCTGATAAAATAGTTCCTGGAACTTCTTGACCACACTACTGTTCCATATCACTGATTTTTAATTTTTGTCAGTGGTCCTTCTAGCCTGCAACAGCAGAAAAATCAAAACTCATAAAAACATTGACTGAGCAAGTAAATATATAATAAATATGGAGATAAAAATGTTAATTATTTTTATTTCATTATTCCCAGAGATCTTATACATAAATTGGTTCCACAACTGATATTTTTCAGTACTGTGGTAGGTCTTGAAACAATTAAACTCCAAACATTATTATTTTTAGAGACTTGTTGCTGCTGTGAGACTCTCTTAAACTTTCTCTCTAGTAGAGATTCATTAGTCTTTTATGGCATAGTCAATGGCATAAAAATTAATTTTGTGTAGCACTAACTTCAAACACACTTTTGCTGGAAAACATTATTTGATATATATAACTGACATGAGGGCCCAATTTACTAACAGCTTTCATCAGTGCTAGTCTTTTTGGCGTTAAATACATTAAAATGTGTTTACTAAATAAGCATTTAAAGAAGAATAGCGCTAAAATATATGGCCATGGCTATTTTTGTACCTGACTTTGCTTAATATGCATTTGTTGGGTTTCCCAGTCAGACACACATTTTATGAGAGGGGATTTAAATGAATCATACAATGTGATTTTGATTGTTTATTGCCTTAAAATCATGTCTTAAATGTTGCACTTGAATTAGTTGCAGTTGTTATCTGAAGACATGCTATTTTTTCTTTACTTCAAGAAAATATGTATTAATGACTTTGGAAAAAAACTAGGGTGAGTCATGTAATATCATGTGTACCATACTCCTTTCAGTACCTCAATAGCTGCATTTTCATTGTCACTACCAATTATTGGCCCTACAATGGAAACGCAATGTGATTTCGTCCTCACCGATCAAGCTTCTGGGTGATTGCCCTGGCCCACACTGGCTCGACAGTGAAATAGTGAAAAAACTTTTGCTAGAGAGTGAAGGAACTTTAAGATCACCTTGTAGGCCAATTGGCTGCTCGATGAAATCCTTAAAGGGTTTTCCATAGGATTTCAATGATTGCAAATAATGAGCTCTGTGTTCAAACACAGTTTATTACGCATGCATTTTGTCAAATCAAATAATCTTCACAAGATAATTTAACTTTTATCATTTTTGGATCCTAATGCAATTGCGAGACCAGAAAAGCTAGCCTTAAGGCTGTAAATGAACTACACCACGTCATCACCAATCAACAAGTTAATCTCTCATGAAGGTCTCTACAGGTGAAGACATACTCTGCACACAATATAAATGTTCAGTTAGAAAAATACTACAAACGGCTCTTTATGAAAACATCTAATCACCAAATAGCAGACCAATCCAAATACCCAACGCAAGCTGTAAAAGTGAGCTTATGCATTCCAATTTAGCTTGATGACATATGTCTCTAACATCACCTGCAATACCAATTAGCAACTTGACAGCAACCATCTTTTCAAAGAAGCGGAACAGACAAATTGACATCATAGTTCCTCCACTCTAAAGCCTTTTCAGATTTTTTAATAGCCGGGGGTTTCCCCTTTAAAGACACCATGAAGCCAGATTAGCTGGTTAGTCAGTTAAATTTTAGTTTAGTAACAGCCATCTGGCTTTTATGTACAGTTGAAGTCAGAATTATTAGCACCCTTGAAACATTAGACCCCCTGTTTATTCTTTCCCAATTTCTGTTTAATGGAGATATACACATGTCTACACATAACAATTTTAATAACTCATCTCTAATTACTGATTTATTTTATCTTTGTCATGATGACAGTGAATATTATTTGACTAGGTATTTTTCAAGACAATTTTATACAGCTTTCAATGTGACATTAAAGGCTTAACTAGGTTAATTAACTTCACTAAGCAGGTTGGGGTAATTAGGCAAGTTATTGTTTAACAATGGTTTGAAAAGAATTTGTTTAAAGGGGCTAATAATTTTGTCCTTAAAATGGTGTTTAAAAAAATAATAACTGCTTTTATTCTAGTTGAAATAAAACAAGCAAGACTTTTTCCAGAAGAAATATATTATCAGACATACTGTGAAAATGTAAACATAATTTGGGAAATATTTAAAAAAGAAAAAAAAATTAAAGGGGGGCTAATAATTCTGACTTCAACTGTACATCCTGGTACATAAAAGCCCGTATTGATGCAAACTAAATAGGAAACTTAACTGGTTAGCCAAGTAATCTGGCTTTAAGGTACAGGTCCAAGATGTCACGCATTTATAGGATAGTCTAGTTTTTTAATTCCATTTTTAGTGTCACGCGTAACAACGCAATAAAATAATCAAGCTTGCCAAAGCACAAAATCAACATCCAATCACATTTGTTATGGATTAGCTATCTATCATTAATTGCGTGTGAGATGAGTGCATGGGTGCTGTCCATTTCTGAAGGCTTTCTTCTTTGCATATAATAGGTTTTTATTGTTGTCTTATGGTCGCTTCTATTAAGCTCATCTTTTTTGCGAATATACCTATTCTTTAGTCTATATAAACATATAAATAAACACAGTTAAATAAAACTATTATTGTGTTCAATAGTTGTACTTTGTAGTTGTACATTTTTAATGAAGTAGGCTAGCACTGACATCATGCATTTTGATTATTTTCTTAGCATCACCACATGGCTGTCTAGCTCCTTGTACCCCTGGTAGAAAAAAAGTATTTTCTTCCACTCTAGTCATTGTAGATCCCCTGCTCCTTATGACCATCAGCTCTTGCTCATTTATTGCTTTAGTCGATATGTAAATGAAATGTTACATCTGTGTTCTTAAATTTGCACATTTGAATGTTCAGAAATGTTCATGCCCATCCGCTTGTTAAGTGGTAACGTGTTTGTGACGTATGTAATACTGTTCTGGGTCCAAGCCGCCACTCATTTGAGTTGAGAAATCATTCGTTTATGATCATGTTTTATTCCTATCACACATTAAAGTTAATTTTATATAGAATCATAGTGTACACAACAATCTCTGGGCTTGCTGCACAACAAATACCAAATATTTAACAAATTATAAAAAAAATAATCACTTTTTGGCCATTGGATATTAGGCATGGACATATATACTGCGATTTAGATTTTCGAAAACCTTAAATCGCTTTGTATACGTTTGTTATTACCATTTCATGAGTCTCCCCATTCAGTTGCATAGAATGCTTGGACCCGGAAGCTGCTTCGCGTGACATCACACTTAACAAGCGGATAGGCGCTGTTTTACATTTTGTGATTTAGCAGATCTGGCCATTAATATCCAACCTGTCTGTTCTTACTAAAGCAGCGCACTCATTTACTCCATTTTTTCACAAAACAAGAAAGCTGAGTTTTAAATAGAAATATTAACAGATGTTACAGTTTGACATGTTGACAATACACAGATAATAAAAGTTAGGAAAAAAGGAATAATCTGTCAGCATGACACGCTCTTGTGAAGTCCATTTGAGAGCCATTTACACAATGTTTTTTGCATTTAAAAACATGAGACAGAGGCAGTGGAATGGGGAAAAAACATTTGTTTTACATTTACACCATGTTGACCACTTCATATGTGGTGCACTTGGATAAGAACTATCTTTATCCAATAAAAAAAGAAAACCACTTGAATGATTTTGTTGTTACATTTACAAGTATAACTTGTTAAATATGTGCCTTGTCACCCGAGTGGGAAAGAAAGTGAATATAAAGGATGTGCAGCTACGATTTCAGTCATAATCACCAGTGTGTGTTAGTACAGTGTAATATGAACCTGGTTTTGATGCACTTTCACATCACATGTCATAATGATAATGTATTTGGTCAGGAGGTGGGCTATAAGGGGTCTTTTGTGGCTATGTGAATGCATCCATATGAGCCTCAAAAAGCACATACTTTCCACCTACTCACTAAATTCATATTCTTTAACTTAGCCAGAGCTGTTTAAACGTTGCCACCTGACATTGTAAGCGTGGTTTGAAAGCCAAAAATGTGCAGATAGGTGTTTAGCATAGCTTTGAATCTTTCAGAGCAGAAACAAATCCTCAGCTCTCTCTGTTTTCTGTTTTTATGTTCATATGCATAAGCTTATTTTACAATATTAGGTCAAAATATCTACCCATACATGCACTTACCCATAGACCACCACAAAGAATTCAGTGGGCAAAAGTTAAAGTTAAAGCACTAGGTGTAAACAGAAATGCGTTTCTGTTGTCTACTTGTAATCTAATCATGAAAGTGTAGAGAATTCATCAACATACCTGCAGTGTGACTCAAATAATCAGAGTCAATAATTCAGAAGTAATAAGACTCCATGTCATGATATTTGATACCCATTCATTTACCAGTAGAGCAGGCTTGACAGCAGACAGATTAATGTGTTTTTTTTCTACAGAATGAGCAGCTCCAACAGGACATTGAGTTCTACAGAAAGGAAGCAGAGCAAAGGGAATCTCTTCAGACCAAAGAGGAGAGCAATGAGATTCAGAGGAGACTCACCAAAGCCAACCAGCAGCTGTACCAGTGCATGGAGGAGCTGCAGGTACATCTTCAAGTCTCCTTCAGCCAACATAACATGATAGGCTCAGTCTAGATTAATGCACTACTAATGCTTCAGACACCATTCAACAGACCATACTTTACACTTTTACTATTTTACTTATATCTACTTGTTTATATATTTTACACTTATTTTATTTTATTTTCAATTCACTTTTTTATAAACTGATGTTTATCAGTGTTTCAATGTCAGTTGACAGTATACGCTTATTGTAGACTTAATCCTATGAACATGTCATTTGAACAGATTTGGCCAATTGCTTTTTGTTTTTTATGCTTCAATTCTATACATATAAAAAGCAAAATGATGTATTTGTTATTGTACAAGTACTAAATTCAGATCTGTCTTTCCACAGTGTCAAATATAATTCTAATTTAACCTATATTTTATCCACAACACAACTCGGGGGGGGGGGGGGGGGGGGGTGGGGGGGGGGAATAGGTATTTCTGGTGGGTATAAAAAATACGGCTGTCCCGCGTTCAAAGGCCTTTACATCGCACATCATGACCACATTGTGAACATTACAGCTAAAGCTAAACTGAGTCAGAAAACAAAGTGCCCTATACATTAAAAAGACTGTACGTTTGAGCTGGTTTTCATCATTGAACAGTAATTCTTGTTTTGAGCACTGTAATTAGATTTCCCAAACACTCCTGATATTGTAGCCATGGATGAAGTATTGAAAAACATTCTGATTATGGAATTAGGTTGCTGATTTGACGCATGCATGGATTTGTGCTATTCAAAAAAAAGGCTGAAATATCAACCATTGGCAAATGCTCTAAAAATTGTGTGGCTTCAACACAAAGCTAGTTGATTTAATTTATGGTAGCCTAGGACACGTTCATAAACCATGTGGGAGAGGGTTACAAATCGCTGGACTCTAAAAAAAGACTACAAATTGCCAAATACTGCCCTGTGTCAGCAATAACAGGCAGTCTGCATGTTTGCAAAAGGCGATGCCATCTCTATACTTAATTTGCAGATATTCTTTTATGAATTATTTATTTACTACTTTGTGTAGAGCTAATTTCAGTGTTTTAATATTGTCATGTAAAAGATATTCAGTGATCGTATTTATTTGCACATTGCTTGTACAATGGGATTTTTCATTTGGATGCTGTGTTGCTTTAATTAGTATTAGTCATTCCAAATAAAATAATCAAGTGTGTGTGTGTGTGTATGCGTGCATGCGTGTGTGTGTGTGTGTGTTTGTAGGTGAGAGTCGAGGTACTGAGAGCTGCACGTCAGAGCAGAGCTCATTAATATTTATGACCTTTCCAAATATGGTCAATTAGGCCTTTCTGATTCAAGGGATGTATTCTGGGTCAATATTTGAGCATATAAAACCGTTTCTGGAGAACTATTTTTGAACTTAAATAAACCACTTACCTCACTCACACATTCACTTTCCTTCAGCTTAATCCCTAATCCATGAGGGGTCGCCACAACTGAATGAACCGCCAGTTACTTTGGCTTATGTCTACACAGCAGATGCCCTTCCAGCTGCAACCCAGGACTGGGAAACACTCATATGCTCTAATTCACACACACATTCATGAAATATTTGGTATATATACAGTATAAAAGCTATTAAATTGACTATTTTTGTAAGTAGACAAACCTGCAGTCAAGTGTTTTTTGTTTGTTTGTTATTTTAATTTAACCAAAATGTTTGCTAGTCTGTAATTTGTTAGGTTTTGATTGTTGCTCGTCTAATGAGGATCCTTTCCGCTTGATCTTGATCTGAATTGTAGAATCCTCTTTATGTGATCTTTTCAGATACAATAAACATGTTCTTCTTGTTCCCAGCATGCCGAGGACATGGCTGCCAACCTGAGGAGTGAAAATGAGCACCTGCAGAAGAATCTAGAAGAATCTGTGAAGGAGATGGAGAAGATGACGGACGAATACAACAAGATGAAGATCGCTGTCCAACAAACGGATGCCATCATGGATCAATTGAGAAAAGACAGAGATCATGCCAAGCTTCAGGTAATTTAATCATGCTAATAAAAAAGGTCATTCCAGTCCCACATGCTGATCGATCTATTTGTTGTTATAGCCACATTCTCTTTTACTGCTGTTGGCAGGAAAATGTTTTGCATAATTCAGAGTGCTTTACGAGTTCACATGCATGGGGGGCCACTCTCTTTTATGATAGGAAAAATAAAAAAGATTGTTGCTATTCCTTTTAATGAGATGTGTTTTTCAAGGTAAGAGAGCTAACTGACCAGATCCAGGCCCGAGTGGAAGAGGACGACCCAGTTATGGCTGCTGTTAATGCTAAAGTCGAGGAATGGAAGGTAAGCCTGTCTTCCGAAATTTCAGCTTTGACATTATTAGCAACTTGTAGACAGTGGAGGGTTGTGACGTTCACGAACCCATGTCATTTCTACAGAAGTGGCGGATTGTTTTCTTTTGTCACCTTTTTGTTTATGTGGTTTACCTGCCTCAAATTGCTCACTTCATATTAAGAAGTTCTGAAGCAAAGGTAAATACTTGATTTAGTGCCAGAAACCTGTCAGCCAACAGTTTTGTCTTCCAAGAAGACATTTCAATAAAAACATTAACTTCTTTTTACATTACTAATGAACATATCTATGTAACATAACATATCTATATCTTTACTTCAGCTAAGTTTTCTTAATTCAATTTGTTTTCAAGTTATTTAAGAACACGTTGATCTCATAACATTATGCTTGCATGGTTTCTGAAGAAACACCATGCATTACTGTCATTGCATTTAAATAACAGAAATGCTTGGATAAAACCTTAAAGCTAATGCTGTTAGTATAATGTATTGTAACATATCCTTTTAATTACTTTTTTTTTTTAATAATAAGTAATTTATTCAATATTTATTTGTAAAAAGCTTCAAAATTAACTGCTCCTCCAAGAATTTTTTTAATAATTTCATAACTCCTAATGTTGCTAGTTAACACACTCTGCATTTTTTTTCAACACATCCCATAATTTCTAGAATATCAGCTTCTACCAAATGGTTGATATGTCAGGTTATGTTAAAAGTACCGGAATTAATACATATACTATAAAAAATCTGAAAATATGACATGTAAGACCATACGATTTATTTAAAAATGTATTTAATTTATTTTAAATAAAATAATTTTGAATGCTAAATCATGTTTTCTCGTTTTGTTTTTTGTTTTTTTACACAATAAACCAAAATCAAGTGTAGTAGTGCAACAGGATTTTGTTTGTTTGATTTTTCTTGTAAACTAACAACTCTGTGTAGTGTAAACCAATATTTAAAATAGTTTGCATTTATGCATTCTTTAAATGACTTTAAACAGTCATTATTTAAAAAAATATGTTCAACCATTTGGTAGAGCAGGCAGTTAAAGGGTTAAGATAAATACGTTTTGTAGCTTAAAAGTAAATAATTGAAAATAAAAACATCTATAAATCCATGCTTTGCTTTTTGTGTAATTATTCATAAATTAACAAACAGTTTTGACTAAAAAACTCGTAGTAAATGTAGATTCAGTAATCTGATTAAAAGAGATAAAAAGCAATGCATAACTAATCCAATATAAATCACAGGAATATCAAATGAACTGACATGTATCTTGTTTAACACGATAACTTAAGCTGTGAACAAGTTGGCACAAATCACCCGGAAAAAAAGACTTAGATTGTTCTCATCACAAAGATTAGACTGATTTAAAAAGACAATAAATAGTTAATTCAAGACATTCAGACATAAAATTGGATTAATCTAATAGTGAAATAATGATATAAATGAGACACTGACTCTTTCTTTCAAGAGGAGCTCTTAAAATTTATATGGCTCATTTTTTATTACAGGGGTCATCAAACTTGGTCCTGGAGGGCTGGTATCCTGCAGATTTTAGCTTCAGCTTACCTCAACACACCTGCCTGGATGTTTCAAGTATATCTAGTAAAAATCTTGATTGGCTTGTTCAGATGGGTTTTATTAAATCTAATCTCCACAGGACACCGGCCCTCCTGGACCAAACTTGGTCATTAACCCTTGTTTTAATACATCATTATAAAGGTTTATTTTTAATACATAATGTGGAGATAACGAGAACTCATTTTTTAAAAACATGTTAATTGTAAGTCAATTTAAAAGCACAGAAATGTCTGCATGCCAATTTTATAATTTCCCTTAAGCTGTTTTGTGAATTGCTATTCGTAGTCTGACACCACACACCGCGGTTCATGGATCCAAAAGCTGTCAGAGGCCAAAAGCGAACAACAAATGGTGCTAATATATGCTCACAATGTGCAGTAATAGTGCTATTACAGAAAATCAGGATCGTATTGTTTATATCCACATCTATTATCACACAGTAATTTACCTTTATAAATGGTTCAATTATTGGTGTCTGGTATAGAGGACTCCAAAAGGCTGTAGTTTAACCAGGGTTTAGTAGTAGATTTGCTTTAATATGTGGTATGATTAAAACTGTGTCACACAATGGCTATTGATTGAGACCGTTTTTTCAATTCGAACAGAGGCTCAAGCCGCTGTCACACTAGAGTTTTAGCATGCAAAATTCTGCCATAAGCTGCTTTGAAAAGGGGCAGGATTAAACAAGATGATTATACATTTAAAAAAGCGAGCGATTCATATTTTAAATTTCTGTATAAAGAGGTCATGTTTTGATCTTCTATTGGTCTCACGCAATCACATGATTTCACAGGTCAGAACTCACCAAGCTTACTAAACTTTGCTATGAAGTGACATGTGAAACTTGTGGCACAAGCTTGCGTTTCCAGTCTGCTGCGTTCGCATACGGATAAATGGAAGTCTATGAGGTGAAAAGTGCAGTGTGGCTGCGGCTTCAGACCCAGAAACAATACTCCATACATCACAACTTAAAGGGATAGTTAAAAAAATTTACATTTATTTACTCGCCCAAAACCTTTAAGGATTTTTTTCCAACTGAACCTAAAAGCATATTCTGATTAATGCTGTAATGTGTAATGTGTAATGTGTGTGTGTGTGTGTGCGTGCGTGCGTGCGTGCGTGCGTGCGTGCGTGTGTGTGTATGAGTGTGTGCGTGTGTGCATGTGTGTTCAACGAGGAAAAAAGTCAAACAAGTTTGAAATGAGTGAAAATTGAACTCGTAACAAATGGAGATGATGTAAAATGATTAAAAGAGAGAGAATAAAAAAGAAATCTAAATCGCAGCATTACAGGAATATCAAATGACTTATCGAGTATCTTGTTTAACATGATAACTCTGACTTTGAGCAAGTTGGCACAAATCATAAGGAAAAAGACGTTAAGATCGTTCTCAACACAAAGGCTCTAACCATTTCCTTTATAACTTCTCTTTGTTAGAACAGAGATGATACCTGATGGAAAAGACCCAGAAAGTTCAGCACCTAGTAATTAGAGTTTCTCAAGTTACCGCCTGGTTTGGAATGCAGTTTTGTCTTTGTAAAAATCTCTTAAAGGCATAGTTCATTACACTTACCTGTAGGTTTTAAACAAGCCTGAAGAACTCAATTAGTTGAATCAAGTGTGTTTAATTAGGGTTGAAACTAAACTGTGCAGAGCTGCGTCCTTCCAGGAACTGGAATTGACACCTGTGCCCTACTGACACTGCAAGAAGAAACTGTTGAATAGTCAGTATTTTTGTTTTACGTGTGCACAAAAGTACACAGCAAGCTTTTAAAAGGTGCCTAAAAGATGTCTAAACAAAGACGTCTTGGCTAAAAAGTCATTTAAAATCCAAAGAACAGTCCAAAAATAGACTTGTTCTCATATACACTACCTGACAAAAGTCTTGCCGCCTATCTAAGTTTAGGAACAACAAATAAAACTTGACTTCTAGTTGATCATTTGGTATCAGAAGTGGCTTGTGTGAAAGGCAAAGGCCTCTAGAGTACGCTTATTTTACATAAATAAAATATGATTGTGCCTTGACTTTTAATTATTTAATTAGGACAGTAAGGTCTGACTTTGCCTAGAGGCCCTCGACAAAAGTCTCGTCACTTAACAGAAATAATGGACAGTGTAAAATTTAAAGTCATGGTGCAGTGGGAAAAAATAATATTGTGCATGACTCCCATGAGCTTGGAGAACTGCATCTATACATCTCTGCAATGACTCAAATAACTTCATCTAGTAAAAGTCATCTGGAATGGCATAAATTCATCTGGAATGGCAAAAAAATGTGTTCTTGCAGGGCTCCCAGAGTTCATCAAGATTCTTTAGATTCATCTTCCATACCTCCTCCTTCATTTTACCCCAGACATGCTCAATTATGTTAATTTTTGATGACTAGGCTGGCCAATTCTGGAGCACCTTGGCCTTTGTTTTCAGTAACTTTGATGTGGAGGCTGAAGTATGAGAAGGAGCGTTATCCTGTTGAAGAATTTGCCCTCTCATGTAAAGTTTGTAATGTAATGGGCAGCACAAATATCTTGAAACTTTAGGCTGTTGATGTTGATGAAGTCAAGTTAGTATTTGTTGCCCTTACAACTGAGATCGACGATAAGACTTTTGTCAGGTAGTGTAGACCTGAATGAATGACTTCACATGTGAAGTCTGTCAAATGATCACTTGTGTACTTTTGGACTATTTGTAGATATCTATCAGATTTTTACAGCCCAAATTTAGTATTGCTTTAGTCATGTTTGCATATCTGTTAGACGTCTTTTAAACATAATTGCTTAGTGGGTATTCTTGTAGCTTCATAATAATATGATTAAACGACTGATGACAATTTGGAGAATGTTTTTGGTATCTTTCTGGACTTTGAAAATTTCAGGACCCTGTCTATTGAAGGGCCATGAGCTCTCAGATTATAAATCTAAATTATCTTCATTAATTCTTACGGGTTTAAAACAACATGATGGCGATTAATCAATGGCTGAATTGCCAGAAATATCTCTTTAAATAGTCAAGATCACAGTCTAATGGATCAGGCAAATTACAGATTAGTTGTTTTTTTTGACAGTCGTGGCACATTTTCTAACCGTGATGTTTCTTTTTCAGAGTGTTTTATCAGGGAAAGATCTGGAAATTTTGGAGTATCAGCAGATGATCAGAGATTTGAGGGAGAAACTGCGAACTGCTCAGATGGATTCAGATAAAAGCAACATTATCGCATTGCAACAGGTCAGTCTGATAAAACACAGTTGCCCTCTTCTGAGAAACTTCTCCATTACTACAAATGAAAATGTTTTTATTTAGCTAGTTAGTTATTTACAAATTTATTAACTCATAAATTAATATTTCTATTTCAAAATTATTCATCAAAGAAAATAAAAATGTTTTTGCCCACAAAAAAATTTCAATGAGAAATATTGAGGATCATGAAATGATCGAATTTTAATGATTTTTAAACAACCTTGAAGACCGGCAATAATAGGTTACAGTGATAAAATTTTAATATTTATTCACTTATGATTGGGTGAATTAAGCCATTTAAATATATCAATAGATTTGTTTTGTTTGACATTTAATTTTATATTTATTATTTATGGTCCATTATTATGAGTACTACATTTTGTTTCTGAGAGTTTATTAAATTCAAAGCTAATTAAACACATCAATCATTTATTTTGAGATGCATTTTGTACTTTCTCTATTCTTTCTCTTAAATATTTTTTTACTACTTTCGGTTATTAATTTTTGTCACAAAACATATGTCTCAGGCCAGTTTTACAAATCCTGTGTTTTGTGGTGTAACTGTAACTGACAGAAACTGGCCACTAATAATTTAAACTGAGTGCATTACTGTGAAATTAAATTTACATGAGGAAGACGTCCATATTTACATCCAAATGCGAATAAATTCTTAGGGGATGGAAACTAAACCCATAAGTGTAGCTATAAAGTGCTCAAATCATCTGGATCTAGTCAGTTTTTCTGAATAGAACGTGTTTATGTGTCTGTTACTGCGTGTGGAACAAAGCCCGCCAGATGTATTGTTTTAAAACAGTGTGTCCCACTTTTATTTCATGCTGCTTCTTAAAAGGCTGTATTACAAAAAATTGTGTTGATAAAATAGGTTTATGGAGTATTTCAATGTGTTTTCTCTTAAGTTTCGTTTATGACGCAACACAAAAACATTTTCAGTGGCAAACCTTACCAAACGCCACTGTGATGCTTCTGGGAAAGCAGCATGAACACTAACCTGTGTAATTCACCTAAAAATAAAAGTTTGCTCACCCTGTTGTTGTTCCATGACCAAATGCACTTCTTCCTTTTTCAGACCAGATGAGAAGAATTAAAGGGTTATGTTATGGTAATGAATATCAGCTTAAAACTATATTGAAAAGTAGAATGATCCCTGGCAAAATGTGCTGTACTTTTTAAGTGTTCTGGAAAGATAAAACAAGGGTTGATGTAAAGCAACCAGAAAATGATTGTAATATTGAATAAAAGTCCTCCGGCTTTGTACATGGGTCTTAATATATGACTGCGTGGTCTATGAGAATGTTGTGGTATGTGTCCACTGGTGTCCATCAACACTCTTCTAAAAAACACTCATCTGTTTTCTGTCGAAGCATTTATAAAAAAAAACACTTAGCACCTCGCTACGCTGCTGACATTTTAAAAAAATGCAGCACTTCTGAATAAAAAACTCCCAGCTTGAGAAAAATGGCTCTTTGTGCCACAGTTCACTATGAACAGCCAAAGCACAGAAGATCATGTACTTTTTTCTCTGACAGAAATATATGTATCAGAGTACCACTCTGGAGATATTCAACATGTTTCCTTCCAAAATGCTAATTTAATTTATGCGCAAAACTGGAATATCATATAAAACTTTCGCAAATAAAGCAGAGTTTCCATCCACTGCACCAGATATCACTGGATATGGTACCAGATATCAGAAAGAAAATTGGAGAGCTCACCCAAAAATGAAAATTTTGCCATCATTTACCCATCCTCTATATATTTCAAACCTCACTGAGTTGCATTTGCCTGTTCTATACGAAAGAAGATGGTTTGATGAATGTTGAAAACCTGTGGCTGTTACTTCCATAGTATTTTTCTGACTGTCTTTGGCTACCAATTTTCAACATTCTTTTTCAAACACTTTTGTATTCGACAGAAAAAAAAGAAAAAAAAAACTTTTTTTTAGGGTTTAATTGCGTGTTTCATTTTGGATACTTTTTTCATGTTTTTTTTTTTTTTGGGTGAACTGTTGCTTTAATTACACACTTATGTGCTTTTTCTGAGCCATGGTGAACTTCGACACTATTATAGTTTAATGAATGCCTAGTCGTGCACAGACTAACAGCCAAGATACATTAAATTTAGTTTGTTTTTCAACAAACCCTGTTTCTTGGAATAACTGCCATGCACGCATTGGAACATTCCTTAAAATGTTTCAGCTTAAAGGTTTAGTTCAGCTTAAAATTACATTTCAGCTATCATTTACTGACTTTTATGTCATTATATAAAAAAGTCATTCTTCCTCAAAACATAAATAAATCATTTTTAACAAATATGAAGTATATTGAGTCAAAAATCTGATGTATTAAACATTTCCAAAGAGACCCATATGAATTGAGTGGTTTAATCCAAGTCTTCTGAAGAGAGTTGATTGCTTTATGTGATATAAATTCAATTTAGGCTTTTACTCGCATACAAACATTGATCAGCTAACAATGTTAACATCATTTAGATTTAGTCACAGAAACTCAATCATGTTGGCTACTTATCTTATCTTGATCCTCTTCATCCCATGTGAGACAGAAGGCTGCAAACTAACTCTGTTCTGGGCTTTGATGCTATTGGATGGTATTGAACCAGTAGATGTCACAGATCAACTATTATGGAAGGCTTCTATCTTGCTATCTTCTTTCTTTACATGAGCCGGTCCATCTGCTCTCACTTATGCCTAGTATGTCCAGATTATATCTGTCCATTTCTTTGATAACCTGTGCTGTTTTGGATGTCTTGTACATGGTCTGCACATTCCAAATACCAAGACGGACACTCTTAGGCCCCAGAAAAATCTTTCCAGCTTCTGTCTTTCCCTGGAAGAGCTTTTATCTGAAGCTGTCATAATGTCACTTATGTGACTTGGGTTTTCTTTCAAGTCTAATGATGCTATCTGTACTGTTGCCACTGTAGCATCTGTAACTCAATGTTTGCATGACAGTTGAGAACTGAGAATTGAGAGAATGTTACAGGACACTTTTTAGTTTCAGCAAAAAACAGTGATATTCATTCTTGCATGTGTCTTGGCATGTTTGTGCTTTTTCATGAACCAGCTAGATTAATTTTTGTGTGTCGTATCTGAGTTTCTTTTTTTCTCATGTATTACACAGTTATGGTTGAACCCATTTGCTGATTAGTGTTTAATATGGCTCATTTCCTCTGAGTGTAGAGTACGGTACAGTGCTGTACGGCACACATTTATTTCTGTTTCACCGTCAGAAGTACCAAAATAACCAAATGTATTGTACCACTTTTTTGGGACCAATTTAAAATAGCCCATTTCCAGTGAGTGGTTTGGTACCACTTTTTTGCTGCCATTTTCAAAGGGTATTTGGCACATAGATGGCGAGGCAGTAGGTAGTGCTGTTGCCTCACAGCAAGAAGGTCGCTGGTTCGAACCTCAGCTCAGTTGGCGTTTCTGTGTGGAGTTTGCATGTTCTCACTTTGTTCGCGTGGGTTTCCTCTGGGTGCTCCGGTTTGCCCCACAGTCCAAAGACATGCGGTACAGGTGAATTGGGTAGGCTAAATTGTCACTAGTGTATGAGTGTGTGCGTGAATGTGTGGATGTTTTCAAGAGATGGGTTGCGGCTGGAAGGGCATCCGCTGCGTAAAAACTTGCTGGATAAGTTGGTGGTTCATTCTGCTGTGGCGACCCCGGATTAATAAAGGGACTAAGCCGACAAGAAAATGAATGAATGAATGATTTGGCACATAGGTATGGTTTCAAAGGGTGGAGCTAGACTCGAGGCTGAATGCTGTTGGTTTACAGCAGGGGTCTCCAATCTCAGTCTTGGAGGGCCGGTGCCCCTGCGAAAGTTTAGCTCTAAATTGCCTCAACAGACCTGCCTGGACGTTTCAAGTATACCTAGTAAGACCTTGATTAGCTTGTTCAGGTGTGTTTAATTAGAGTTGGAGCTAAACTCTGCAGGACACAGGTCCTCTAGGAACAAGTTTGATTATTCTGGTTTACAGAGTCATCACCAGCATATGCAAAAATACACAGCAATGACAAAATAGGATGTGTCTTTTTTAAAATATATAACCATAATCACAAAATAACAGCATACGTCATTAAACCATACTCAAACAAAGCTCAGACATACAATAGCTTGCTTCTTTTTGTGACGAACAGCCGCATGTTAAGAAACAAGGCCTGAATGTGCTGTTTGTCCTTTATTGTTGTTTATGAGGCCATTGCACATGAGCATTTAAAATGTTGAACTTGAGTTGGCAAAAGACTCCATGTGAATTGCCAGACTTTTTTTTGGAGCGAAACTAAAGTCAATTGCAATGCCACTGTCAGCCAATCGTTGCATTGCTTATTAAGATTTCAAGTATCAATAGATCTGTTCTTCACAACACACACAGCAGTCTCAAATCAGTTCATCCAGACACTTTAATTCGTGAACTTGTTTGAAGAACCAAATTAGCCAGAGGTTTGCTATTAAAACATCCAGGATCTGCCAAATCATCGTAAATCAAAGAACGGACCCCTGTATATATACTGTAGATGTACATAACAGTAAAATACAAAACGTAACGCTCAGTGGAAACGAGGCATACTGTAAGTGTGAATAAAAGCCTAAAGTAAATCTGTTCAATATAGACCATTTTAATGTGGCAATGTCATTGGCCCTTGAAAATTTCCTGCTTATTGTCAAACTATTGTCTATTAATTAATAATTAATCATGATTAATCATGAAAAACGTTTTATTATTAATCATAATTAATTACAAAAACGAGTGATTAATTATATACATTTTTTTAAAGAGCCCATATTATACATGAAATAGGGTCATATCTTGGTTGTAAGGGTCTCCAACAACAGTTTAATATGCATGCAAGGTCAAAAAACACTTTCATGGTCTTATAATCTGCATTTATTTTTACCTAATTATCCCAGCGACTCCCGTATGAATCGTCCAGTGATTCATTTGTTCCCAAACCCCTCCTTAGCGCGAAGCTAATCTGCGCTGATTGGACCAATGACAGTCTGTTGCGATTGGTCGACTGCCTTCAGTGAGAGAGTGAAATGTCCAACAGCTAATCAGCAATATAAAAGTAATCACAGTTCATACACGCTCGATAGTGTAAGACGTGGATTTTAGCTGCCAGTGGGTCAATGTATATACAGACTATGGACTTGAAAATACAGACGACTAACTATTTTATTGAGCAAAAACTCCAAAAACAGTTAAGGAGATCTCCTAGCTTCTCACTCTGCTCTTTTCACAGACACACACACATATTGCACACACACACACACACACGCACGCACGCACGCACACACACACACACACACACACACACACACACACACACACACACACACACACACACACAAACAACGTGCAGCTCTCAGTACCTCGAATCTCACCTACACACACACACACAAACGCACGCACGCACGCACACACACACACACACACACACACACACACACACACACACACACACACACACACACAAACAAACACACACACCTCCGGACGACAGCGCGCGCACACACACACGCACACACAGACACACACACTACTACTCCTCCACAGAGCTCCGTAAACAAAGCAGCACGCGTCGCGTTTTAAACGTGGCTTTGCACCTGATATGAGAATAAAGCGAGTTAACCTGATACAGTACACGCGGTTACAAGTAACAAATCACAACTAAATACATTTGCAAGCTAGAGTCAACGAGGCAACTTTAATCGCACGTACTTACACTTGAGAAATGGAGGAAGAAACCCATCCTGACGTCCATCAGTAAGTTACTCTTTACTGATCCTTACTTTAACAAACGCCGATGAATTATTCTTTGTAGCATGTAGTTTGCAGAAGTTTCCAGTAGTTTCCAACTGCTTGGCTATAATGCTGAGGTTTCATCTTTGGGTAGAGACTCAATATATCCATCTTCAGTGTGACTTCAATCGACCGGCATGTTTGTGTGGGTGTGTGTGTGTGTGTCTGGGTTTCTGCGTCAGAGGGCGGGGCCGCAGGTTTGAAATCTCTCGGGTTTGCGCGTGCACGTGAATAACGTGGTTTCATTCGTACGTCATGGCGAAACACCTAATGAATCGGTATCAAGGCGACTCGTTTGAAGCACTATGAGTCGACTCTTTTATAGATGAATCAACTGTTTTAAACACTGTACACTAACAGATTTAAGCCTTAGCTGGATACTTCACTTCACTTAGAGCTGTGTTACACACTACATGGAGGGGAATTTTCAAAAACCCATAATATGGGCTCTTTAATCATTTGACAGCCCTAACATGTGAATGTATTGACCTTATTCTAAAATGCGGAAGTGAACCTGTTTTCGCGATTGTCTTAGAACTTCCGATTCAGTCGCCTATGGGAGAAATGACTAGGAATAATAAACTGCAAAAAACGGTCAAACTACTTGCTCTACAAACAAATGTTTGCATGACTATACAGACCAAGTAGAATAATATAACGAGGAAATATCAGTTTACAACATCAAATGGCGAAACGAGCAGTTTTTAATGTCTAAAAATGAATGGAAGTGAATGAGACCATAAGTCTCGTGCCAAAAAGATTTAAATGGCAGCGCCCGCTCGTCTGCGGAGAATAAGGTCAATATTATGAAGCTGTTGTTATTATTATGTAATATATGTTTTATCTACATTAATCTTGATTTTACATTAATACAGTAATAAACAGACAGACGATAACAAGAGAAAACATTAAAACAGCTGTCATGATATTATTTATCAATATGCAGACCTTTTTGCATTCTCAGGATCTATGAAAATTAAAAAAGGTAAATCAGGAAATACATTAGGACCTTTGTTATTGTTTACATTCCTCAAAATGGTCTGTATAAAGGGATCATTTCTCTTCAAGAAAGACACATGAGGTCCTCTTTTCAAAAAGCAGTATTTTGATTGAAGATTTGTGTTAGAAAGATGAAGAAAGGGCAAGATTTTGGGGTGACCTAACCCATTAATGCTGGTTGCTAATCACTGCCACTCTATGCAAGAGTGCCAGCAGGACATGTTTTACAACGTTTCAATTAGTGGTCCACAAAAAGAAAAAAGGCATGCGGCTGTGGATTAAATGATGACTAAATTTAATTTCTGGGTGAGCAATCCCTCTGCTATGGGCACTGAATGTCTGGAGCAGATCCCCGCTAATGCATTGCCAAATTTGATTTTGTTCAAATGCTATATCATATTTCACTCTATTTGTGTGCTCTTTTTTGTGTGTTGCACTCTCTTTTAAATGTTTACTACTTCTTTTCAAATGCTTCACTGGCTTGCAAATGTTTCCTTTTTCCATTCTCTATGGTTTACAACTTGGCCGTCTCAGGTCATATATGAACTGTGTGGCGTGAGTATCTGTTTCTCATTTCCTTTGCTTTTTGTGTCATTCATCCTCTGTTTTGCATCTGTCATCTGTCATCTTTAGTCTGTTTCCTTCATATTGATTCATCTCGTTTTGTCCCAGCGGGGTTTAAGGCAGTCACTGGCTTTGTGTTTGTCTTCAAAAGGCCGTGCAAGAGAGGGACAACCAGATCAAGATGCTGTCGGAGCAAGTGGAGCAGTACACGACGGAAATGGAAAGGAATGCTATGCTCATCGAGGAGCTGAAAAGGCCATTGAAGAAAGATAAAGGTCATTCCAGCGACCACCAGCGTAGATTGGAGGATTTGAGTGCTAAACTCCAGGTTGCGGAAAGGAAGGTGCTGGAGGCTCAACGGGCCGCACAACTGGCTGAACGAGATGCCAGAGACAAAGACAAAGAACTTAATGACACCCTCAGCAGAATCCGTCTGTATGAGTCGGTGGGTTTGTGCCTTAACACTTACTTTTATGACCACATGTTTTACATACTTTTGGAAATCATTTTGTATCGAGTCTTTTACCTAAATGTTATGCTTGAAAAGGAAATACATTCAAATGTATCCACAATTAGGACCGTCGTCAACATAATTATCTACACTTTTTAATTGCTAATTAATAATTATTATTTCTTATATTTAGTAAGCTATGACAGTCACTTTTAGTGCTAAACTTTTGGGCTTACTTTGTTATCCAGGCCTTATTGACGAAAACTTATTTTCTAATTGCATATTCAGCCTGATATGGTCACTTAGTATCTTCAGAAGAGCTTCAAATATTTGTTCAATATTTTTTTTTGTATTATTTGCTCAAGAAGATTAAATATTTGTGTTAAAAATAAATTCAAAATAAATTGTTTAAAAAATGCATATTTATAAAATATTACATATATCACTCGTATATAACATTTCTTTTCAATGTTTTTTATAATAAAAGAAAAGAATAATAATATTGTCATTATCTTGATGTCTATAATGAGAGCACTTTGATGGATCTTTTTAAAAATGGGAAGTTATTCGTCATATACCATGCTGAAAAATCATATCTAATGATTTTAATGTAAAAATTTTTAATTGTATTTATATATGAATACAACAGTTCGACTGCATAATCTTGAATATAAAAAAGAATCAAACACGGAGAGTCTAAAAATTCTTTTGCATGAGGAACTACTTTCTTCCTCCATTCCTTCAAATCTGCAGCTGACATCAGAATAGCAGAAACTGTTGCTACTTCACAAACGTCACTTTAGAGCTAGTACTTGAATGATTCTCTTGCGTAATATCTAAAGTAAAGACAAAACAGGGGATTTTGCTCACATTTTAAGATTATAAGGCTGAACGGCATGAAATGCCATCAGTCCACAGAGATTTCCAAGTATTTCTCTGTTGCCCCGAAAAAAGCAAAACAAAGCAAGCACTACCAGAAACACTACCAGACTATGGTATGAATACAGCAGTACAATATGCAAAAGAGAGAGATTGACTTACATTAATGTCACTTACCTTTTTTATAATGACTTTATCAGCTGTAGTTGGAAATTTGTTACACTACAAGTCATGTGGTCTCTGTTGCCATTTGACAGCCCTAACATATATATATATACACACATTATACATTATGAAACTGTTGCTATTATTATGTATTATATGTTTTATCTACATTAATCTTGATTTTACATTAATAAACGGACAGACTTAAAAGGATACCTTTTTAACCTATAGAATGTTATATAACACATCCTTGGAAGTTTAGCTTGAAGCACCTCATTCTTTTTCAGGGGACGGATGGTTTGGAAGCTGCAATATCTGAAATCAAAGAATGTAAAAATCAAATCCGAGTAAGAGACCGGGAGATAGAAGGCATGATAAAAGAGATAAACCAGCTGGAGATGAAGATCAACAATCTGCTAGACGAGAACGAAGACCTGCGAGAGCGGCTTGGTAAGATTCTTCAATGCATAGCTATCTCTGTTATCTCTTTTTCTACTTACACCTAGACATATTGGTCTGTTTTCATATCCCATATTGGTTTTGCTAAGATAACAGTCTGCTTTGACCCTCATTGGGATCATCTTTCCCAAACCAGGATTAAATCCGAAGGAAGAACTTGATTTGAGTGAATTCCGGAGATCAAAGATTTTGAAGCAGAGACAGTATAAAGCGGAGAATCAGGTTCTGCTCAAAGAGGTAAAAATACTTTAAAAAAACTTTATCTTTATGGACCATCCTTAATCTGTTATGTCGCCTTTCATTTTTTTAAATGGAAATTCTTAGATTGAGCGTCTCGAGGAGGAAAGGCTGGAGCTTAAACAACGCATCCGTGCACTTGTGAAGGACAAAGGTGAGATCTTATCTCCGAGATGATGTATATCAGTTGTACACTCATGTCCTATTACCATAAACAGATATTTAGGGTTCAGATATGCTAAGTGCTTACATCAACACAAACACTGATTTGGCATTTACAGTAAGATCTATTGTTAGGATTTCCTAGAGACACATAGTGAGATGTTGGTGATGAGAAGATGCAGGCACAGCTATTTTTTTAGCTGTCCTGATAGCAAAAGTGTTTGTTAGAAAAATTGTACCATCTATAAGATATTGGAGGATGAAAATTCATAATTGCGAGATATATAAACTTAATAACAGTCAAAATCGTCATATATATAAACTCTGAAGATAAAATTCTGACTTGTTTCTTGTGATTCTGAGTTTGAGTTTTTCCTAAGTTATTCTTACAATTATTCTAATACAATTCTGGCTTTATTTCTCTAAATCCTGTTTGCATTACACCATTCTGACTTTATTTCTATAAACCCTGTTTACATCACTCAACTCTGGCTTTATTACTCTAAATCCTACATGTTTACATCACGCAATTCTGACTATTTATATAAATTCTTGGTTTACATCTCATAATTCTGGCTTTATTTCTCTAAATTCTATGTTTACACAGACTTCTAATTTTATTTCGCTCAATTTTTAGTTTAATTCTCACTCTTCTGACTATTCTGAGGGTGTTTCGTTCTGATTTCCAGCTTTTAAACAATTCAGAGTTTTTTGTTATTTTTGCTTTCTATATTTCACTGTTCTAAATGGATCTCAGTTCTGACATTAAGGGCCCTATCATAGGCCATGCGCAATAAGGTGCAAGACATGTTTGGCGCGATTTGTTGCTATTTTCAGACCAGCGCAACAGTAATTTTTTACATTTTGCGCCACATTGTTTAAATGGAAAATCCACTTGCACTACTTTGTGGACTCATGGGTGTGCCAGTCTAAAAAGGAGGTGTATTAAGGTGCATTGTTAGCGCGTTACTATACTGAGAAAGTGAAATAGACTGCGCTGTTTACCAAATAAAAGCTGGTCTAAATTCCAGCACAGAGCGTGTCAGTAATGCGCCTATACAGGTTTAAACACTTACACATTGCTTATTACACACAGGATGTACAGCAATACACAAATATCTCTACATATGAAAAAATAAAGAATTAAAATTTTACAAACATTACAATTAATATTTACTGCATAGATATAGAAAACCCTACCTCCATGCCTTCTTCATGTCCAGGAGGCTTTTTTCAGTTTACTTTTGACAATTTTCATTTGTATAATGTTATTGTTGTTAGCAGTATTATTTATTATATGCATATTTATACTTGTTTTAATATAAAAAAAAAAGTTTTTTCACCTGTCTGGTTTTAAAGACGTATGCGTCACTAAATAGGGCATAAGAATTGGACGTGTGTTTGGATATAACTCCACACTTCGTTATTTTTACCACACTTCGTTATGGTTGTTGATTTATTCATTTGCTGGAAATAAGAACTGAATATAGAAAAGGTTTTGAAACAAATCTTAGTGCCTAAATTAAATGTATACTAAATAATATGTAGGCTAATGGATGTCTTCAACAACGTTTCCTTGTCCACGAAAGTAAAGAGGCCGAATGGAGGAAGCTCGTTCTTTATCCTCGCACTGCAGATGATCTGTTAAACTGTTTTCTCGCTAGTGAAGCATTCAGTATTTCCATTTACGAAATCCGCCATGTAAAAAGCAAATGCACCATTATGCTCAAAACACACCCATAACTCACTCAACAGCACAACCCTCCTGTAATACCATGCACTATGGCGCAAGCCTTCATGCTTTTGGACACACCCTTAATGCTTTTGTGCTATTCGCTTTAGACTTTGCACCTAGATCGTTAAACTATAGAGCTCTAATTCTCATAACTGTTTATATCTCACAATTCTCACTTTTTCTCACTTTTTTTCTTAGTTATTCCTGGCTATTAATGTTATTAATTAATTCTCACAATTGTTGAATTTATTTTGCATACATTTAATCACAATTGTTTTATTTTTTATTATACTATTGTCATTCTGAGCAAAATGTCAGAAATGTGAAATAATCATTTGTTGTTTTTTCATCCACTACCTGACTTGGTAGCACTGCACGTGTTACTATAATAACTTGACATATTATGCTTAATAAAATTGCAAAAACATTTGTTAAATAAAAATATCAATTAAAAGGATAATTTCTTAATAAATATCGTAATGCAATTGATATGAATATTCCACATTTGTGCCACAATATCAATGAAGGTTATTGATTGGTGTAATAAAACCCTTTTAAAATGGTTGATTGTGGCACAGTGTTTCTGCTGTTTTCTGCATCAGTGTTGACAGCAGCTTTTCATCTCACTTTTAACTAGTTTAAATCACAAAAACAATTTTATAGCACTGTTTAAAAATGGTCTTATGATCAGGATCGCCTCATAAGTAAAAACGTTCGCTCTAAGCTGCCTTTGACACATTTATAGGATTCCACTCGAATACAAATTATCCCTGTTAGTAAATAATGCTCTCATCACTGCAAAACATTTTGTAATAAAACCGTTTTTTTAAGGTGTAACAGTAGTCAGCAATTCACTGCTTGACAACAGTGTTGAAGAAAAGCCCGTCAGATCCCTAAGGCCTTCCTCTGGATCCACCGATGATGAAATCAAACGCAAAGTAAGCCTATATCAGAAAACAATTACTGCTGAACCCCATAAACATTAAAGCTAAGCTAACAAACTCTTTATTTTCATAGAACGAGCGCCTGCAGAAAGAGCTGAGCAACAAAGAGAAAGAGCTGGAACTCAGGAGAAGTGAATCTACCCAGTTCAAAGCCAAATGTGAGCGGCTTCACCTTTTGGATGTTTGAGGTGTCAGTTGGCTGTTTTGACTGTAATGTTTATGTCTGTCCTGCAGTGAATGAAATGCTGAATGAGAATAAACAGCTGGAGCAGGGCATGAAGGAGATACTGCAGGCCATCCAGGACACTCAGAAGAAAACGCCAACATCCACTGGTGTCAGCATTCCTAGCCTCGAGAGACTCGTCAATGTATGCATCAATGGTTTTTATATATTTATTTATTTATTTATTTTTTGTTTGTTTGTTTGTTTGTTTATGTATTTATTTTGGCAGATTTCATATATACAGTGCTCAGTGTAAATGAGTACACCCCCCTTTTAAAAATCAATATCTGTATTTATTTCTCAGTGAATATAGTCAACATTTTGGTGCATTTAAAGAAAACAGTTTTATTAAACAGATATGTGCATTAAAATAAGAGTTTTGGCATCTTACATCTTTAGGAATGGAAAGACAATGTATTTTTAAATTGAAAGTTATTGCGAAGAAAAAACTAAACTAAATTTTAATATTTTCCTCCGACATATTGATTTGGGTGTACTCATTTTTGGACATTGATCTTGAATTTTTGTTAGATTAGTTCCAGTTTATGCTTTAGTACTGACTAATAACATATCATTGTAAAGCATTCTATAAAAAATATTAATTTAAAAATGATGATTTGTGATGGGTTTTAAATTTTATTTAAACTTGCTGTTGTAATAATAACTTAATTATTGTTATTATTGTTATTATTATTATTATTATTCGGAAAAAAAAAAAACTAATAATACGCGTCACTATGGAAATACATAACATGTTCTACATAACAGTCACATTTAAAAAAAACTCCTGCAGGGGATCAGCTGAAATGATTCAAACTTACCTGTGTAAAGGTTTATATTTGGCAAGAGCATTGCACAGATTGCATGCACAGATATTTCCACTCCAGACATATCAGCATGATAACACTATTGTTGTTTTGCTCCTCCCCACTCCTCAACCATTCGAATTTATGTAGGCAGAGATCATTAAATCACAGAAAACCATGCCTCTAGTAACTGTTTGTTGTAGAGTTGTTTATTGCAGTTGTTTTTTTAAATTGAAATATCTGTTGTAACTTTGTAGATCTTTTTTTTCTCCCCAAACATACCCACCACAGACTAAAATTCAAAAAGTGAAAAAGCATAATAGAAACCCTTTAAAAAGGCGGGCTAATGGAGCTCATATGTTCACTTATGCGTGACTGGCTACCGGAGATTTGAAGTCATTTCTACTAATGGAGCTCATATGTTCATGTATGTGTGAACATATGAGCTCCATTAGGAGAAAGAACTTGAAATCTTCGGTAGCCCTTCATTTTAATGAAGCGTCACACTCCATTTCGGACTTAGACTTTATGAAACTAGAACATGTACCACAGCTTCAAAGAGGTGGGGACATGGAACGGCAACTTTTACAAAAGGAAGGCAAATGGATTTGCGATGCTTATATTCACTTTGTGTGAATGAAAAATTGGTTTTGAATTGTATTTTGGTAAGGTACGCATGTACATTTAAGAAAGTATGCAATTTTAATAGATTTTGAAAACATTATAAAAAAATCTAAAAGTATTCATTGACTTTTTTTGTCTTAATTTTAATATGTAAAATAAATATATATATATATATATATATATATATATATGTGTGTGTGTGTGTGTGTGTGTGTGTGTGTGTGTGTGTGTGTGTGTGTGTGTGTGTGGTGGCTAACAATTCAGGGGGCTATTAATTAAGACTACAATTGTATATATTTAAATAAATATATATTAATATTAATGTCATATGGAAGTCCAATGTTATATATCCAATTAAATGTTATGAGTGATGTAATTTTTATGGTAAAAAATGCATGTAAAAATTGTTTTAATAATTGATAAATTAATAATAGATGTCATAATTATGCAGTTACAAATAAAAGTCACTCATTCATTTATTCATTTTTTCTTGGCTTAGTCTCGGTTTCAGAGGTTGCTACAGCTGAATAAACTGCCAACTATTCTGGCATATGTTTTACACAGCAGATGCCCTTCCAGCCCCAACACAATACTGGGAAACACCCACTCTCACATTCCCACACACACACTCATGCACTGAGGTCAATTTGTTTCTTCAGTTTATCTATAGCGCATGGCTTTGGACTGTAAGGAGAAACCAGAGAACCCGGTGGCAACCCATGGCAACACGGGGAAACATGCAAACTCCACACAGAAATGCCAGCTGGCCAAGCTGGGACTCGAACCAGCAGCTTTCTTACTGTATGGCGACAGTGGTAACCACTGAGCCACCATGCTGCCATAACTAAAAAGTATAAAATTAAAATCAAAGAGTATTATTGAGTAATAGAAAAATTGCAAAAAGTCATGCTTGTATGAATGATCAAAAATGCTTTTAACTTATTTCAATAATTTAATTATGAAAAGTAAATCTTGTAATTATGGATTTGAAGAAATATACCCATACAAAACTGCTACATATTACAAATGTACATATTACCACTACAAACTACCTTATTATCACGGAGCAATAATTAAGAGTTATTAGAGGGAGTTATTAGTGCATATAATTGAAATTCTTACCAAAACATTTAACCAGAAGCCATACAAAATGTGATTATAGTAAGGAAAAAGAGAAGAACATCCAAGATGAGACAGGGACTTTGTGAAAATCTGCAGATCCCATTGCGCTGTATTCATAATAGTAATCTGTCACACTGATAATTTTGTGGTAATGTGTACATCAAAATTTGCATAGCATAAATCCCAGTTTTAGATTAAAATAAAGTAAGTGATTTATACTGTATTCCCACATATTTTGACATGCGAGTGATAATTGTGTTTATCGTAAGGCTCTGGAGATGAAGTATTCAGAGGGGAAGTTTGATGCAAGTCTCCACCTGAGAACACAAGTAGATCAACTGACCGGCCGGAATGAAGAGCTCCGACAGGAGATGAAGACGGCAAGAGAAGAGGCAGCAAACACTCTCAGTCAGTTAACAAAAGCAAATGAGAAGGTACAGTGTTCACTTATAAAGAAATATTCATCTAATCTTACTTTTCAGATTGCTGAACAATGGCAGAATTAAGTTTTATGCCCCTAAAATATCTCATGAGTTTTGTTCAGTAAATGCGACAGTTCGTTAAATATGAAGTGAATTCATTGTGATATTTTAGACACAATATTGTCGTTTTTGCTCAGTTTTGCCAACAAAAATAAAACGAAAAGCAAGACTGCATCTCTGTTAAAACCAAAACTACCAGTGCTGGTAATTCATTTCTAAATTAATTTCCATTATGGATGAATCGGGTGAACCAGTGATTCAATTCATATAAAGAACTGTTTACTTAATTGCTGAATGAATGAATGAATCAAATGAAGAAATCAATTTTTGACTTACTCAATGGATGTTTATCACCACCTACTGGCAGTTTTATTTTCTTATTTAAAGTCCTCATCAGAATTTACAATATAATTGGCCTTGAGTTGAACATCCATATTATTAATCCACTGAAGATCAATTATTGTTATTACTACTATTATTTTTAAGATTTTTCTTTTGCCTATCCTATTATAATTTTTTTTTTTATAATAGGACAATATGTAGACAGAAAGCGAAGTAGAAGAGAGAGAGAGATCCGGGATGGAATGGAACTGGTAGTGATCTATGAAAGATCGAACCCAGAATAACCAAATGTCAGGATAAGCTTGTTTTAGTACACTTTTAAGAAAAATCTTAACACTATCATCCATTCTGGGATGCCAGTCTTTCTTAGATTTGACAGCTTGGGTGAAATATTCTTAGCCAGTCATCTCTAATTGTTAATTTGCTGTGAGTGAAAGATGAGAGGAACTCAATATTCTGAAAATGTGTCATCTTACTGGAATAAAAACAGCAACTTCTGGCCACACAAACTTTAAATTACAGTTTAATTTAACAAAATACTTTATTTATTTGTTTTGGATGCTGAATCAAAATATATACTTTTAAAGCTACTTTTTGTAAATATCTTCTTGATGTTTTTCACATTAAAAGTTAGTAGTTCACACTCCCTTATATCGTTTTAACCCCCTGAGACCTTCGTTCATCTTCAGAACACAACTGACGATATTTTAGATCATCCTCCATAGACTGCAATGGCCCTGACTTGTTTAAATTCCAGAAAGGTACCAAAAAACTTAAGTAGTTTAATTGTAATCCTAATAAGCTGCAAGCATACTTTTGTGTTATGGACTCATAAAACAAACTTAACAACTTAATTCAGCAGTTCCCTCTTAGTGTCAGTATTCACCTTATACTCTGCCGACGAGCGGGCGCTGCCATTTGATTCTTTTTGGCTTGAGACTTCCAGTCTCATTCACTTCCATTAATTTTTTGACGTTAAAAACTGCTCGTTACGCTGCTTGATGTTGCAATTTGATATTTTCTTATTATATTTTTCAACTTGGTCTGTATAGTCATGCAAACATTAGTTAGTAGAGCAAGTACTTTGACCGTTTTCTGCCGTTTATTATTCCTAGTCATTTCTCCCATAGGCGACTGAATCGGAAGTTCTAAGACAATGCGAAAACAGGCGCATTTCCGCATTTTAGAATAAGGTCAATACGGTGTGCATTCATGTGTTATATTACCTGGGATACGCCTGTGTTCTGTTTAAAACACGTGGAATCCAGGGAGGTATCATCAGTACACAGTGCTCATGAACATGTAGGAGAACAAAAGAAGAAAGTAAAGTTGTTATTTTTGTTTTGCTCGCACACAAAAGTATTATTGTAGCCTATGTTCCAATTGAACCTCTGAAGGCATATGATCTGTCTTGAGGATTTTTTTGTTATTTTTCTGAATGAGCAAGCATCCTTCCTGTCTATGGAGGATGAGGGAGCTCTCAGATTTCATCCAAATGATCTTAATTTGGGTTCTGAAGACAAATGAAGGTCTGACATGAGGGTTGTCAATAAATGACAGAATTTTGTTTTTATTATTATTATTAATTTGCGGTGGTTTTAAAACTTTGAAAATTAGAGAGCAATGACAGAATATCATGGGAAGCAGAGAGATAGGAAGGATCAGCAAAGGTTCTCGAGCTGGGAATTGAACTCTGGTCACCGTGAGCATGTCTGTGTTATACGTCTTATTTAGGCTATTCAACTGACCAGTCCTTAAATCTTAGGTAGAAATTAAACTTTTAACACCATAATGACTTTTAGGTACTACTATCTCAGTCAAATTTAATATGCAAATAATTTGCGATTAATTTGATTCATTATTCATTTTAATTAATTAAATAAAAATGCAATCAACTGTCAGCCCTACTGTAAATATATCCACTTTTATGTTTTTCTTTTTGTTTGTTTGTTTGTTTGTTTGTTTGTTTTTGTAGATCGCTCGCTTGGAAAGTGAGATGGAATCAATGAGCAAATCTACTGGCTCTTCCATCCCTCACAAGACATTAGCTTTGCCCGAAGAAATGACGCCCACTAGTGCGGAGGCCATCAACGCTCTCAATGAGTACACGGTTCAGCTCCTGCAGGTGTGTGGCAGTCCAGTATTGTGTTATGATGGAAACCATATGTGAGGTGTACATAATATTAAGACTCCCAACTGCGGATGTTCAGGAGATCAAAAACAAGGGAGATTCCATTGAACAGCTTGGTTCGGCTCTGGAAGAGTACAAAAGAAAGTTTGCTGTCATCCGCCATCAACAAGGACTACTTTACAAGGAGCATCAAAGGTATGCCGAGCCGTAAAGATTGTTTATATTATAAGACGTGTTATATATATCAATTTTACATATGTTCAGTAATCAATAAAGCATGATTTTCAATCACCTCTTGTGCTTCGCTTCAGCGAAAGAGAGTCTTGGCAGAAAGAGCGGGACTCTTTTGCAGAGCTGAAATCCAAACTTGAGGAACAAAGGGAGGTGGACGCAGTAAAAATCAAAGAGTACAACGTAAGTCTCTTAAAGGGATAGTTACAAATGCAAATGATGTCACTGTGTTTTCATCCTTATACCTATAATTAGAGCTGCATGATATGTTGTTTCAACAGCGACATTGCAATGTGCAATTGTAATGTGTCGAGGTCGAATTATAGCTGACCAGAACACATGTGATTTCATGGCAAAGTTTAACCGTAATTGAGTATAAAAGTTAATCATTTACATGTGTTTTTAGTGCAAGTGACTGTGTAAGGCAGTTTAAAACATTTGGGTACAATAAATTAAAATGTTTGTATCTTCATTAAAGAAGAACTGTGTAATTATTCGACGTCTATACCTGAATACAACCCAGTAAACTATAAAACACAGATTACATCTTTTTTTCATCTTTGCCTCATTGTATTCAGCTATGGTTGTAGTTTGTTTAAAACATTTTATCCAGATGTGATCCCCTACAAAGTAACCCGATCAGTATAAAATTAGGAATTCTTTTCAAACAGAGGTATTCAAGCCATCTGCTAATCACAAATACTTCAAGGCCACTTTTAATGTCACACAACCATGTCTATAATCATTTCAAACAATTCAGAACACATCTTTTAGCATTGGCTCTGTTTCCATTTGGTATTACCATGTTTTCAGTGGTCTGATCACAAGTGGTCTGCTGAGATGATCATTTCTATCTTGTGTTACCATCCTCAAATGAGTTACATGATCATTTGCAATCTCATTTCATCTAGGCTCTTCCTTGCTATTCAGTCATACTGTACATCACTTTTGCAGGAATGCTTAGTACGCCGCTCAAGTACTTTTGAATAAATTAACCCGTTATGTGGCATATGCACAGTATTCCCTATACATTTATTTCAAGCCAAGCAAATCTTCCAGAAAAAAATCCATCCTGATATCTTACATATTTTGGACAGCCTTAGATGTGTCATGTGACATTATTGCTGTGCGGGTTCAGCCAAAGCTTAATGAACTAGTCTACGAGCGTTCACAAAACCTCTTTATATAGTGCAATTACACGCATCTGTTGGTTCTAGTTTAAGAATTAATTCTCTCTCTCACTCACACACACATGCTCTGACATCCTTTTCATCAACATGTGTTACAATAGCTGTCAGACAACATAGATGACATGCTATTTATTTTTAAACATTTGGTTTCATTTTAATCTAAAAATCTAAAAATGCCAGAAAGAGAGTGTTCTGGTTCTGGGTCTTTATTATTTTAAGCTACTGGCACATCGGCTTTTAATGGCTCATTTGAGTTATTGTGAGAATACATATAAGAAAAACAACACAGACTTACTTTAGCTGCTTATACTGGCTGTTTATAGCTATTTCAGGCACTTATTATTTATTTACCTTCATATAAATAACATATTTTCACTGTGGTATATCTTTAACTTTAATATTTCATTTATTATGAAAGATGTGTCATTTTGATTGTGGTGAGCTAAACACTACAGAGCTGATTCATTCATTTTCCTTAGGCTTAGTCCCTTATTGATCAGGGGTCACCACTGCAGAATTAACTGGCAACTATCACGGCATACATTTTATGCAGTGGATGCCCTTCCAACTGCAATTTCTGGGAAACACTCATACACTTCCACATTCACAGACGCACTCATACACTAGAGCCAATTTTGTTTACCCAATTACAAAGATGATTGATTGAATAAATAACTATTTTACTTGATGTGATTTTGCTAATGCTAGTGTGTTTTTTTTTTTTTTTTGTAGAGAATGACTGCTAATGTTTCAGAGATTTTTCAGCAATCAATTTTTGTTTTGTTTGTTTATTTTGATCATTTAATTTCCTTTGTGTTTTAAATATGATGCAGTAAGCTTTATAGGGGTCACCAATCTCGTCCTGGAGGTCTGGTGTCCTGGAGGGGTTTAGCTCTAACTTGCCTCAACACAACTGCCTGGGTGTTTCAAGTATACCTAGTAAGACCTTGATTAGCTTGTTCAGGTGTGTTTGATTAGGGTTGGAGCTAAAATCTGCAGGACACCGGCCCTCCAGGAACAAGTTTGGTGATCCCTGCTTTATAGGCTTAAGAGGTAAACACTTAAATTAATCCTCCTTTTTCTCTTAGTGTTCTTTTATATAATTTACCACAAGAAACAGAAAAAAATGCTCCAAATGTTGGCACAGATTTTGAGAAAAACCAGGCTTAGCCCTATTAAAATCATATTGTTAAAAATAAGCATTTTTCTGAATAAGTGTTTTTTTTTTTTTTTTGCAGTGCTGTTTTAAGAGTACCAGCCTTTACTAAGAAATGCCATTTTACAAGTCATTAAAAAATCAGTATAATGTTTTTTTTTAAAACCTGTCAATGTCATTTAACAGGCTGTAGATGGATTCAGCTTAGAGGAAACATTTCATATGAGTAAGCTGGGAAGCAAGCATATGAAACTACGATTCTGATCATAATCTATTGTGTTTTCAACACATGCTATAATGATTATCACGTATTAGGTCAGTAAGTAGATTTAAACCAATAATAATAATATTTCAAAATAAAAAAATACATATATACAGTTGAAGTCAGAATTATTAGCCCCCCTTTGAAAAAGTTTGTCATTTTTAAATATTTCACAAATGATGTTTAACAGAGCAAGCAAGTTTTCACAGTATGTCTGATAATATTTTTTTCTTCTGGAGAAAGTCTTATTTGTTTATTTCAGCTTGAATAAAAGCAGTTTTTAATTTTTTAAACACCATATTAAGGTCAAAATTATTTGCCCCTTTATGCAATTTTGTTTTTTCAGATCTACAGAACAAACCATCATTATACAATAACTTGCCTAATTACCCTAACCTGCCTAGTTAACCTAATTAACCTAGTTAAGTCTTTAAATGTCAATTTAAGCTGTATAGAAGTATCTTAAAAATATCTAATAAAATCTTATTTACTGTCATCATGGCAAAGATAAAATAAATCAGTCATCAGAAATTAGTTATTAAAACTATTATGTTTAGAAATGTGTTGGAAAAATCTTCTCTTCTTTAAACAGAAATTGGGGGGAAAAATAAACAGGGGGTCTAATAATTTAGGGGGGCAAATAAGTCTGACTTTAACTGTATATTGTGCATAGTGTATGAGTGTGTGTGGATGTTGGTTGTTGGATAAGTTGGCGGTTCATTCTGCTGTGGCGATCAGAAAATGAATGAATTTAGCTTACCCAGTTCACCTATACCACGCGTCTATGGACTGGGGGAAGCCGGAGCACCCAGAGGAAACCAACACTGGGAAAATATGCAAACTCCACACAGAAACGCCAACTGACCCAGCCAAGACTCGAACCAGCGACCTTCTTGTTGTGAGGCGATCGTGCTACCCACTGTGCCACCGTGCAGCCTAACTACTATGATGGCATGTTTTAAAAAAATGTCAATGTGCAAACTCATCAAATTATGACATGACATGTCTTCAAAAGAAAATAATATATACAGCATAATTGAGTACAACCCATTTGGAAAAAAATATATATATTTTTATCCATTTCTCAGTGAAAAAAAGGATATGTATTTTGGTGCAAAGATACAAAATTTTAGTCCACAAACATATTTAGAAATTGAAAGATAATACAATTAAATTCAAGCAAAATATCGCAAAATAAATACAACTTACAAAATTTCAACTAAATTTTTATATTTTTCTGCTTCTATGTCCTCTTTTTTTGTTTGTATTTAATATTTTTTATAACATTTAAATTTGGGTGTACTAGTTTGTTTACCGCTATCATAAGTTATTTTGTTAGAGCTCTAGATTTGGCTTCAGTACTGTCTAATCTAATGTATATGCACAAATATAGTATTGAATAGCTTCCTATTGAAAATATGAATTTAAAAGATAGATTTGTGAGGGGTGTACTCGTATATGCTGAGCACTATACAGCACTAAGCACTGTATAAATTGAAATTTTGTGTTTCACACTTTGTATTTCATACTCCTCACCTGTTTGACTCATTCCCAGCACTTGCTAGAGACTCTTGAGAAGGACCCGAGTGAGATCAGGCGAGAGATGGCGGAGACAGGCAGAAAAATAGTGGTTCTTCGGGTGAACGAGAAGTGTTTGACACGCCGTTACACCACTCTGCTGGAGCTGGAGCAGCACTTGAGGAAGGAGAATGCAAAACTAAAGGAGGATTTCACTCAAATGCAAGCCGCAGTTACAGAACGCATTGGCTACTTGCAGAGGTTCAAGGTATTTGCCTGCTCAGTACATCACTTCAACAGATAGAAAAGAACTTGGTGAATGATTTATTATTAGTAGATGCACCAATATAGGTTTTCAGTCGACAGTACTGATTTTGAACAAGGTTGCAAAAATTTTTTTAAAAGTCAGGGCTTGTTTAGGCCAATTAACTGGCCTGTTCAGTACATAAGCTTGGTCTTTCTTTATGAGCTATGGCTGTCATCTTTGTTACAGGTCTGTCACTGACCTGTACTGACCTCTATAAACCTGTTTTCCCCTCAGGAAATGGCTGCTTTTAAAATGGCCTCTTTGCAGAAATCCCTAGACGTCAGTGTTCCTGCTTCCGAGCTGGAGAGAGCCAACAAACAATACACTGAGCTCACCATCAAATACAGAAACCTCCTCCAAAAGGACAACCACCTCGTTCAGAAGACCACCAGTCTGGAGCACCTGGAGGTACAGTACATCTTATGCACATCACACTCCACTAGTGTCGGCACCTTTGGTAGATATTTTATTTTTTTCAAATGTATTTATTTTTGTGGTAATTTTGTGTTGATATGTAATTATATTTGGTTCATGGTGCCTTCGTATTGTAAAAAGGTGTTTAGGTCCTTTGATAAAAAAAACAATAAAGAACAACAAACATATTTAACTGTCAGCATGACAAAGCTCTGGTTTTCCATAGGCTTACTGTTGTGTGCACCAAACTCTATATTGGTTTTACCTGACCATATAACCAGTGACCGTTTGCACAAACATTGGCATTTTGTTAAAAGTTAGTTTTATATTCTAGTTTGGCCATGTAGCTGTTATTTAAAACCAAATTCAATAGTTAAGAGCAGTCTTTATGGAAAGAAAAACACGTATAGCCAACTTTAAAAGAACACATTTCCCATTTGAAGTTGCAGCAGAGCTTGGCAAACTGAAGATGCTTGAGTCTGTTTTTGGATGAGAGTAGATTCTCTTTTTTCTTGAAACCCTTTCAGACAATGTGTGGTGATGATACCAATATCAGATTGCAGTTTTTGGAGACTAAAATAAGACCAAACAAACTTTTGCAGTTTACCAGCTAAAAATATTTTTGTACATTGGAACCATCAGGACAGTGATGAAGACAGACATGCATCCTCTTCCAGATGGATTCACAACACTTCCAGTTGACTCATTTGTTAGGGTGTCTTGTTTGGTTTGATTGAATCAAACTCAAATTTGCTTTCCTCTTTGGTGTAGATCTTTTATTCAGGTGTGAATATAGCAATCACACTCAGGTGTGCACCAAATGAATGAAAATGACCCAAATGAAGAGGTGCTGTTGGTCAGCTTCAAATAAATCTATGGTATGGTTTGTTTAGGCTTTGAATACGATCTGACCTTGAACCGACACATTTGCATTAAGCCATGATTCTTTTGAATTCTCAGGATCCCTGAGTTTAAGTCTGAGTTTGCTGTTGCTAAGCAACCCCAGCTCTAGCTCTGATATAAGCTTTATTTATAGATAAAAGAGAAAGTAATTGGGGTATTTGGCTGTTCTGTTTTTGTCTGAGATAACTAGTTAACTGTTCTGATGGAAATCCACATAATACAGCCATGTTGCTCTCTTTTCGTGCCTTTGAAATAAAGAACGTGAAATGTGAACGGTCTCTCAGAGCTGCAGGAAGACTGTGTCAGTGGTGGTTCTTCAGACAGCACAGCTAATAGTGTGCAAGCAACTCTGTCCAGTAAACGGCTGACTTTATCACACATGTGGTTTTGTTTAAACTTTCTGGTTCACTTACAATAAGGGCAGTGTGAAAGCAAACCACACCAATGCAAAAAAAAAAATCAATATTGTGTTTGGTCCGCACCTAACCAAGTGGACTTTCCTAGTGTGAATACACCTTTAATTATTGCCCTCATGGTAAAAATGGTCATCTTTGTTTCTAATATTTTCTTAAAGCTGCTCTCCATTTCATGTGACACCTGTACTCTTTGGTCTTATTTACGGTGTTAATTGAAGTGTTTTACCTCATACAGTATTTATTGCAATGTGAAACATGAGATCATGGTTGAATAATTTCCAACTCTTGGGCACTCAGGTGTACTAAAAATATATTAATAATTAATGGGAATATACTCATTTATGAATCATTTGGGTGCCAATAATTGTGGCACAAATAAACGGAACAAAGATTTTAGTTATTTTGATAAACAAATGTTCCTCTCTTTGTGCAAATATTTGTTCATGACAAGAGGATAGGTGTGTATTCAGTTGAATTCAGAATTATTAACCCCCCCTTTAAATGTATTTTCTTTTTTTGATATTTCCCAAATTATGTTTAATGGAGCAAGAACATTTTTACAGTATGTCTGATAATATTTTTCTTCTGGAGTAAGTCTAAACAAATTTGTTTTATTTTAGCTAGAATAAAAGCAGTTTTTAAAAATTTTTAACCCAATTTTAAGGTCAAAACTATTAGACCCTTTAGGCTGTTTTTTTCTCTCAATAGTCTACAGAACAAACCATTGTTATACAATAACTTGCCTAATTACCTTAACCTGCAAAGGTAACCTAATTAACCTAGTTAAGCCTTTAAATGTCACTTTAAGCTGTATAGAAGTGTCTTGAAAAATATCTAGTTAAATATTATTTGCTGTCATCATAGCAAAGATAAAATAAATCAGTTATTAGAAATGAGTAATTAATAATAATAATAATAATAATAATAAGTTTTATTTATAATGCTCTTTTCTCAGTTCCAAAGCGCTAACAAGCATACAAGGCAAACAAAGCAGAACAATAAAAACAGACAAAAAAATTTAATAATAATAAAATTAAAAGACCACAACAAAATATGAACAATTCAATACAATTGAATGATAAAATTAACAAAAATAATCCATCTAAGTTAAAAGCAACGGTAAAAGGGCGAGTCTTAAGAAGTTTCTTAAAACATTCCAGAGAAACAGCATTCCTGATGCTGGTGGGTAGGCCATTCCATAACTTAGGCGTACTGTATGAAAAAGTACGACCACACGTAGTCTTTAGTTTACAGCGTGGCTGATATAGCAAGATTGCAGATGAAGAACGAAGACTGCGGGTGGGAGTGGCCAGAGTTACCAGGTCACAAATGTAGTCAGGTGCTAGCCCATGCACTGCTCTGTATGTTAAAATCAGAGTCTTAAAATCAATACGTGATTTAACAGGAAGCCAGTGAAGTTGCTGAAGTACAGGAGTGATATGGTGGCGCGAGGAAGTACGTGTTAAAACCAGCGCAGCAGAATTTTTAAATGTACTGTAAACATCTCAGAGAGCTTGCTGGTAGGCCTCCGAAGAGTGAGCTACAGAAGTCATTAATCTATTGTAAACTATTGTCATATCTTCATTTAACAGAATTTGTGGAAAAAAATAAACAGGGCGGCTAATAATTAAAAAGTAAAGTGTTATTTACTGTCGTCATGACAAAGATAAAAATAAATGAGTTATTAAAACTATTATGTTCAGAAATGTGAAAACTCTTCTCTCCGTTAAACAGAAATTGGGGAAAAAATAAACAGTGGGGCTGATAATTCTGACTTCAACTGTAGGCCTCTTCATTCTGCTCACAATACTCCTCTGTTTTTCTTTCAGACGGAGAATATGTCTTTACGTGAACGCATTGACTCCATCAATAAAGAGCTAGAGATCAGCAAGGAGAAGCTTCACACTTTGGAACAGGCCTTTGAAAACATCAGCACAACTGGTACACATCAATGCTAATTCATTACAGAAACAGGGAAACAATTGTGAAGCATTACAAATGATGTCAGTGAATCAAAAAATAAATCTTGCTTCAGTGTCCTTAAGTGACCCAACGTTCCTGGGGTTTCAGGTGGTGAGATCATCATGGACAAGGCCACCAAAGCCGTGGCCAACAGTGAGATCGTATCTGTGTCCAGACGCATCACCACACTGGAGATGAAGGAGCTGAATGAAAGACAACGAGCCGAACATGCTCAGAAGATGTACGAGCATCTAAGGAACTCCCTCAAGCAAGTGGAGGAACGCAACTTTGAGCTGGAGACCAAGTTTGCTGAGGTGAGCCTGATGTGTCTTGAATCTATCACAATAGTATACTTAACAGTGCATGCCAAAATGGGATTTTAACGGACTTTGCTTGAATAGTCTGAGATTTTATTTTTTTATTCTTTTATTTTATCTTATTTTAGTTTATTTAACCATACATTTTAATTTTTCATAATAAATGTTTAACATAGTGTGATTTATTAAGATGAATTTAAAGCGCATTTAATGTTCATAAAATTAAAATCAATTATTTAAAAAATAAAATAAAATAAAATGTGCTAATTTAAGCCTTTTAAGTGTTCTGTGATTTATGAATATGTCCTAATTTCATATGAATAAATATGAGTATATTGAACATTTAAAGTGAGCATTTAGCTTTTTTACATTTTTTATTTAATTATTTATTTTAAATTTACTGAACAAAGCTTTATTTTAATAAAACTCAATAGCTTGATCATTAAATAAGCTTTCACTTTATTTTAAAGTAGTTTGTTGAACATTAAATAACAATTATGTTGTTTTCTGTATACTGGTGTAGCTCACAAAGTTAAACCTGGAGGCTCAACGGATTGAGCGGGAGCTCAGGGATGAGCTGGCAGACAGTGTAAGCAAACACATCAGCGATGCAGACCGCAAGAGAATCACTGAACTGGAGAAAACAGAAGCAAACCTGCGGATTGAAGTGTCCAAGTAAGCCTGATCAATTGACCTGCACGTGTTCATTTAATTGTATGATAAATGTATAACATTGAAATATACACACAAGCATCTCTTTTAAGATATTTGCAATGTTTACAGATTGCGGGAGGTGTCAGATGTGGCTAAAATGCAGGTGTCCGCTCTCGATGCCCGACAGCAGTCTAGAGAGAAAGAAGTAGAAAGCCTGAGGAGACAGGTTTTAGACTACCAGGTATGTTTTTTCTATTTTTAGTGAGTCAGCCTCTTGATAATCTCATTGCTAATAGGACTGGGTATGCTACTGTAATTAAAAAAAATGTCTGGTTTTAGATGCATGGAATATAGCTGGGGGAGTTCAAAACCAATGACTTTGGACTTATTGTTTTACACACATACACTACCTGACAAAAGTCCTGTCATCAATCCTAGTTGTAAGAGCCACAAATAGTAACATGACTTCTAGTCGATCATTTGGAATAGTGGCAGAAGGTCGATTTTTTTTTTGTTCGATGAATCATCTGTTGAACTGCATCCCAATCATCACAAATACTGAAGAGACTTATTGGAACCCACATGGGTCCAAGATTCTCACAGAAATCAAACACATTTGGTGAAGTATGAATCATGGTTTGGGGTTACATTCAGTATGTGGCTGTGTGAGAGTTCTGCAGAGTAGATGGCAACATCAACAGCCAGAGCTTTCAAGACATTTGTGCTGCCATTTTATTACAAACCACAGGAGAGGGCAAATTCTTCAACAGGATAGTGCTCCTTCTTATTCTTTAGCCTCCACATCAAAGTTCCTGAATGAAATGAAGGTAAAGGTGCTCCAGGATTGGCCACCCCAGTCACCAGACATTATCGAGCATGTTCTAGTGTAAAATGAAGTAGGCATGGGGAATACTGCAAGATCGCTTTCTTTGCTATTCCAGATGACTTTATTAAGTTATTTGAGTCAGTGTAAAGATGTATGGATGCAGTCCTCCAAGGTCATGGGAGTCATACACAATAATAATTCTTTTTCCACTGCACCATGACTTTATAATCTATACTGTACATTATTTCTGTTAAGTGACATGACATTTGTCTAACAAAGTCAGAGCTTACTGTCCTAATTAAATAATTAAAATTCAATTTGCCTTTCATTTAAGACACGTTTGATACCAAATTATCAACTAGAATTCGCGTTATTCTTTGTTAATAGGTGACAAGAATTTTGTCAGGTAGTGTATACTACAAACTGACACTCACAGAGATATACTTATATTCTTGGATTAATACTAACGGCTTTAGTTGTAAGACATTATACACGGATGGTAATGATTTTAGAAGTGACATACGAGAGTATAAACTATATAGAAACATCAACATTATGTTATGTTTATTGATATTAATAAGCCCTGCTGCACTTCTCCAGACATGCCCACACTTCCCTGGAATACAGATTAAAAATGTAAGGGGAAAAAAATCAAACAATATCAAATTAGCCACTTTATAAAAAAAAAAAAGCTGAATTTTAATTGGAGCAAAAAAAATCAAATAAAAGCCCAATTCATTTTCAGAGTACTTAATAAAATTCAAACTTAAAATAAAAGTGTATTAAATGTTCAACGTTGCATTTTCTTCGGTTCATTTTTTTTTTATTAAAAAAAGGAAAGTAAATCTTGATTTTCATCTGCTTTTGAGAATCATTATTAGAATCATGAAATAAAAAAACAATTGATTGAAAATTCTTTGTTAATAATTGCACTTCTCCTCTACAGGCTGAGTCTGATGAAAAGGCCCTGATCGCCAAACTCCATCAGCACATTGTGGCTCTCCAGCTGAGCGAGACCACAGCAATTAGCCGTCTGGAGGCCACAAACACACGTCTGCAGAAACTGGAGGCGCAGAAGCTCCGTGACGAACAAAAACTGGATGAGCAACAGCAGGCACTCTGGCACGCGAGGCAGGAGGGTCACCAGCGGGCCAGACACCTCCGGCACACCATCCAGGCCCTCCGCAGACAGTTCTCAGGAGCCCTGCCGCTGGCCCAGCAGGAGAAGTTTTCAAACACCATGCTCCACCTTCAAGAGGACAGGGCTCGGGTCAGAGAGGATGCACAGATAACGGAGGAAGAAAGAAGGAAGGCAGAAGGGAAGGCGCAGGAACTGGAGCTAAAGCTGAAAGGCTTGGAGGAGCTCATAGCAACACTCAAAGATGCTAAAGGGGCTCAAAAAGTAGGTTGATTGATTACAGACAAAGCTGTGATGTGAAAAAATACCTAGCTACATTTTCAAGAATAAGTTGTGTATGCAATTTCTAAAAAATAATGCACATTTATTGTGATGATAGAGTGTAGATGGATAAATGAATTATAAACAGTTTAAGAGTGGATGGATGGATGGATGGATGGATGGATGGATGGATGGATGGATGGATGGATGGATGGATGGATGGATGGATGGATGGATGGTTAGTAAAAATTGGCTATAGATCTATGGATGGTTAGAGACAATTGTTTAATCGATGGATGGATAAATAGCTAGAGTCTATGGAGAGATTAAGTGGATGGATAAGATGATGGATTAACTGATATTTAGAAATGATGAATGAATAGAGTATATAGCAATAGATAGATAGATAGATAGATAGATAGATAGATAGATAGATAGATAGATAGATAGATAGATAGATAGATAGATAGATAGATAGATAGATAGATAGATAGATAGATAGATAGATAGATAGATAGATAGATAGATAGATAGATTGGTAGAACTTGAGAGAAACCAATTTTGATGTGATTTTTGTTTAGAAATGCATATTATAGGTTTACATAAAATAAGTTACTCATATTAAAAGTGTTATTTAGTGTATTTAAAATGTACAATAAGTTTACAGCTTAATCTCCATCCCTACAGGTGAGTGAGTGGCATAAGAAACTGGAGGATGTTCGTCTGTTGGAAATGAGGCAGAGCAGAGAGCTGAACACTCAGAGGGAAGAGATCAAATACCTGAAGAACTGTGTGGCAGAGCAGGAACGCACCATCAGTGGCCTGGAAGAAGAGCTGGTGCAGCAGAATAACGTCAGTATTGCATTGAAACACTTTTTGACATTATATATAGAGCAAACTTAAATCTAATCCTATTCGCTTTCCTTGTATCAGCTACTCGAGGAACGCCAGTTGATCTGGGATCAGAGAGAGGTGCAACTGGAGCGTCAACTTGACTCCTATGAGAAACAGCAGAATGAAGTTCTGAACACAGCTCAGAAGGTACCGTCAATACAAAGTCTTGGCAGACATGGCAAATGTTTTTACTGTACTTTAGTATGCTGTTTTCTGAAGGAAAGTTTAACTTGCACTTAACCTGTCCTGTCTGTGTTTAGTTTGAGGAAGCCACAGGCTCTCTGCCGGATCCAAACCAGCCTTTAGCAAACCAATTAGACTATGCACTCGGAAAAATCAAAGAGCATGTTCGTACCATTCTTGAGACAAAAACTACCTGCAAAATTCTGGAAGAGGTACTTTTTAATCCAAGTTTAAAATCAATTCACCTTTACTTTACCAAAAGGCCTAAATATGAAAGTTCATGTAAAAATAATCGAATTCCTTCATGTGATGGGGGCTGTCATGTTAATCTGTGCTGAAGTGGAGCTACTGGCTTTATAGCACATAAATTCATCCACTTCTGTTGAGGTTGGGGAGGAATGTATTATAATAATACAATTTATGTGAAAAATAATTTTTGAAATGATAAGCATGAGTAAACATTCTAGTACGCCTCTAAAACAAAATCAGATCTTAGCACAGCAGGACCATTTTAATGCTCTTCTAAGAAAAATGTAAGATTTGGATAAACTTCTCCTTTAAGGGTGTCTCAAAAGCATTTTCTTTTTCTCTGAGCAGAAGCTAAAAGAAAAGGAAGCTGCTTTATGGTCATCAGAACAGAATGTTTTATCTCGAGACAAAGTAATCAATGAACTTAGACTTCGTCTACCAGCTGCTGCTGAGAGGGAGAAACTCCTGGCTGACCTGAGCAAACAGGAGGACTCTGAGAGCCAGCCCACCCTGAAAGTCGCTCACCAGACCATTAATAACCTCCAAGGGCGTCTGGATCAGAAAGAAGAGGTTCTCAAAAAGTACCAGAACCTTCTAGGAAAGGCTCGCCAGGTACCAGTTTAACATGTTGTAAAAATTGATAACTGTGTTTTTATTGCACAATTAAAATAAAATATCCCATCTTATTTTTCCAGGAGCAGGAAGAGATTGCCAAAAGACATGAGGAAGAGGTCCGGGCCCTTCATCAGAAACTAGACGTCTATATGGACACATCTCTGGACCGCTTCAAACAAACCGCTCTGGTACCTTGAGTATTAATTATAAAGCTCTAATTGGGCCAGAAGTGAATTAAAAAAACAAACATGGTGTACAAAATGAATGTAATAATATCATAAAGCATTGCAGTTGTCATTTTTATTAGGTTAGTCAAGTTTTTTCTTCTGTAGGAGCTCATTAAGAAACCCACCATCACCGTACCGACAAGTAAACACTTGGTCCGGTTGGCAGAAATGGAGCAGACGGTGGCTGAGCAGGACAATTCACTCTCCTCACTCTCTCAAAAGCTGAAGATTGTCACTCAAGAGTTGGACCAACAGAGACAGGTGACAGCGGCTCAAGCCATGGAGCACGCTGCAGATATGGCCAGGTGAGAAATCGCGTGAATATGTTATATAACATCTATTTATTGATTCCTCATGGCAAATTGAACCATCTTGTCATTCCAAGATTGGAGGATAAACATGCTGCCCAAATGAAGGGTCTGTCCCAGGAGGCAGAAGAGCTGAGGGCTCAACTCATTCAGATGGAGAAAGAGCTGCATTACCTCCGTACAGAACTAGAGGCTCAGAAGGAGGCCAACGTCAGATCACCATCCAACACCATGAAAAACCTTGTGGAGCGCTTGAAGAATCAGCTGGCACTTAAAGAGAAACAGCTTAAGGTAGTGGACAACTAAAGTAAAGGTAGTAAAATTCAAAGGCTTTACGCATGTTGTGAAGTCTTAATTGCTCCTTCCAAAATTAAAGGCTTTAAAAAGGCTTACACAAGTTTTCCACACCTGCAGTGAGAATGTTTGTTGCATGTGAAGATAAACTAAGTCAGTGGTCACCATTCCAATAAATTCCCAAGTTACACAGAAATCACTGGAATGCTTGATTTTGATTTGTCTATCACAGTCAATCCATTTTCAGATAACAACTGGTAAAACTAATAACACAGATTCATTCATGCACTTGAACACAAGAAAGCAAACAATAGAGATGGATGAATGGATGGATACTTGCATACATACATACATACATACATACATACATACATACATACATACATACATACATACATACATACATACATACATGCATACACACATACATACATACATACAAACATACATGCATACATACACACATACGCACACATACATACATACATACATACATACATACACACATATACATGCATACATGCATACATGCTCGCACACATACATACATACATGCATACATGCATACATACATACATACACACACACATACATACATTAATACATGCATACATACTCGCACACATACACACATACGCACACATACATACATGCATACATACATACATACATGCATACATACATACATACATATACATGCATACATACTCGCACACATACATACATACATTCATGCATGCATACATACATACATACATACACACACACATACATACATTAATTCATACATACAAACACACACACACACACACACACACACACACACACACACACACACACACACACATACATACATAAATTCATTCATACATACATACATACATACACACACACACACACACACACACACACACACACACATACATACATACATACATACATACATACATACATACATACATACACACATACATACATACATACATACATACACACATGTCAGGTGTGTATGTAAGGCAGTCAGGTTTATTCTGCTAAGACAATTGGCTAGATGTACCTTAACAGTACATTGCATTGTGACATCAGCTTTTCTATAGGTCTCTTTACTGTACAGTTAGTTTGAAAGTGACTAAAGTCAGAATTTGGTTTCTCCATCCACAGGCTCTCAGTAAAGCTTTGTTAGAGCTCCGAGCGGAATTGACATCTCAAGCAGAGCAGCAGATCATCACCAATGCTGCTCAGAAGGAAGAGGCACTCAACGTTCAACAGATTGTGGACAAGCAGACCAAGGAGCTAAGGGTAAAAATGAACTGACATTGTCTCTGTTAACTCTAATTAACGGCGAGGCAGTGGCGCAGTAGGTAGTGTTGTCGCCTCACAGCAAGAAGGTCGCTGGGTCGCTGGTTCGAACCTCGGCTCAGTTGGCGTTTCTGTGTGGAGTTTGCATGTTCTCCCTGCCTTCGTGTGGGTTTCCTCCGGGTGCTCCGGTTTCCCCCACAGTCCAAAGACATGCGGCACAGGTGAATTGGGTAGGCTAAATTGTCCGTAGCGTATGAGTGTGTGTGTGGATTTTTCCCAGGGATGGGTTGCGGCTGGAAGGGCATCCGCTGCGTAAAAACTTGCTGGATAAGTTGGCGGTTGATTCCGCTGTGGTGACCCCGGATTAATAAACGGACTAAGCCGCCAAGAAAATGAATGAATGAACTCTAATTAACTTCACACTTTCAAATGATCAAATCATGCATTGTGCAATGGCAAACTAAATAGACTAAATCAGATTTGAATTTGCTTTCAGATTTTAAACTACTGTTAAGTTAGGATACTGTTAGGATAAAGGTTACGTGTCCAAACAAACTCTGTGAAGGGCAAAACTTAATCGATCATTTTTTATAAAAGACATTGCTTGAAAATGGTGAAAAATCAGTGCATGGTAAAAAAAAAATAATAGTAAAGAAAAGACTGGGAGAAAATTAATATAAATCACTTCTCGAACTGACAAACTGAATAAAAATGTTATTTATTGTGAATGATTTATTTAATTCATAACATTAAAATATGATGAAAAGTGCTCATTTTAAATGGCTCTTTTAAATTTATTTGTTTTATTTTTTAAATCGGCCAGTTACCTTTAATAATTGTTTGTGAAGCGTTGAAGAGTATATTTTGGTCATCGTTTGTCAATCATAAAATACCTTTAAATGTAACTGATTGGAACAACGAATGAACTTTCAACATTTTATGACCCTTAAAATTTTAAGAGGACTGAATTTTATCCGAGCCCTAACAAAGCAAATAATGTTCCCCATGTTCCCCATCAGGCTTGTGTGAGAGACCTTAATGAGGAGCTCCAGCTGGCTAAGGATGGAGTACGAGCGGCAAAAGCCAGAGAAAACTCCCTTAAAGAGGACCTGGAGACCTTGAACAAGGATCTTCAGAGGAGCCAAAAATCACAGAATAAGCTGCAGAGTGAAAAGGAGGCTTTGGAGGAACACTTGAATGAGCTGAAGAAGAAGATTCAGAGGCTCAGCAGTGGCCTACAGGTCAAATGCATTTTTCTTTTTTTTTTTGCAGTCCCTGTACTGTGAATGGTTAAGGTCATGAAAATCTTGTCTTGCTCTTCTTGAGTTATTCAAAAGCACTTGGACAGTGAGTCAGCGTCCTTTTCTTTTTCCTCGAAAAATGAAGAGCTTCTGCTCACTGTCTGGATGAACAGAGCCCTTCTTTGATAGCAGTGAATACGTCTAGACACTATTGTGCACCTCCTCGCTCTTATCAAAGGTTGCAGCCTTTGGGAAGAAATAAACAGAGCCATTAGAAGCTATAGTCATAGTCCTATCTGCTTCTTTTACATTTAAAGTGATTCAATTAACTTTATTTAGCACCGTTCAACTTTCAAAACCTGTTTACAAAAAGTGCTTTAATAAAGACACACTGCAGATCAGAATATTTGCAGATATAACCAATATGAGCATATTTTTTGTTTGTGTGCGCAGGCTCAGGTTGAGAGCGATGGACCCACTGTAGATGCTCTTCAGAAGAAGATTCGTAAGTTGGAGCATGAGTTGGACAGGAAGAGCATCTCAGAGCCTGCAGACAAGAGGAGCACCCTAAAGGAGGACAAGGTGAACTTGAGTTAAACAGTTGAAAGTGAAATAATTGAGAAGCAATTGTCAGAAAGCTTAAAGAAGCCTTTATATTTGTTCCTTTTTATGTTTATAAGTTGTTATTTGATTGTTGGAGCTAATTGTCTTTCATATCTACATTTAAAGGAGCCCTATGTAAGGACTTTTATGGCTCAGAGCGTCTCTTTCATTCTCGGGCAACAAATACTAAAGGTGTTTATTAACACAAGCTATGATCCTGTCTGAAGATTTGAATTAGACTGATGCTCAAAACTGAAACATTGCATAAAACATTTGCAAATAAAGCACCAATTCCAACCAATGACAAAATCCTCACTTCATAATAAACAGGAGCCAAACACCAAAAAGAAAAATGGATCTTGCTGCTGGAGAAGCCACAGTGGGTCTTTATTCGTATATAATAAATACAACTCAGAAGACTAAACATAATGGTCACACAATGGCTTTTGGAGGTGTGAGCCATTCTTTGGGAGTGCAGCTGCTCAAGATTATACTAGGAGGTAATAATAATAATGAACCACTTTGATGATAAACTTGGGCTGAAGGATTTTAGAATGATCAAAACAACACTTCAGATGTTTTACAATGTGGTTGGTCTGTTTGTTTGTCTTAACACCATCCATTAATGCCATTAATGTTCTGTTAAAATGAAATCCTGTCTTTTTTGTTGTTGTTCGTGCAGGAATTAATGCAAAACTGTGTTTCCATAATAGTTTTTTTTTATTATCGGATAAAATATAGTCTATATTCTTGAAATTTAAATTTAGTTTAAAATCAAAATGGTTAATAAGCCTATCCACATCACTATGATCAGGTTCTTTCCTAATTGCTGTTTTTTTTTTTTTTTTAATACTGCTTTCATTTTTGTTTTGTTTGTTATTGAGAGGAAAATGTGTATTTCATTTTTTATTCTTCTCTAGGACTTTAAGGGATGGTTCACCCAATGACACAATTTACTGTTTCAAGTGGTTCCAGTTAAGTTTCTTTCTTCTGTTGAACACATAATTTTTTTGAACACAAGATATTTTAAAAATGTTAGAAACCTGCAGCTATTGACTTTCATAATAGGAAAAACAAATGCTATGGAAGTCAATGGTTACAGGTTTACACTATTTTCTAAATAAATCCTTTTGTGTTCAACAGGAAATTAAGTTAAGATGAATAATGATGTCAGAATTTTCAGTTTTGTGTGAACTATCCCTTTAACTACCTTTTTTTCATTTTTTTAATATTGGTAATTCTTTTTGTTTTTGCAGTCCTCTAAAGAAGAAGTTGTGAGATGGGAGGAAGGTAAAAAGTGGCAGGCCCGGGTGGACAAAATGCGAAATGTTCTTAAGGAAAAGGAGAGAGAAGTGGATTCTCAGGCTAAACAATTAGCAACGATGAAGGAACTGTACAGCAGGTCTGTGACATTAATCTAATCACACAATGAGCAGATTTAAATGGTTTAAGGAACCTTAAAGGGATAGTTCATTTACTCACTCTTTGCTTATTTCAAACCTTTAAGAGTTTCTTTCATCTGTTAAACACAAAAGAAGATATTTTGAAAATGTTGACCTATAATTGTTGACTTCCATGGTATTTGTTTTTCTTACTGTAGTGGTCAAAGGTTACAGGTTTTTAGCTTTCTTTAAGTTCAACATAACAAAGAAACTCAAAGGTTTGAAACCACTTAAGGGTTAATAAATAGTGAGTACATTTTCTTTTTTGTTGCGCTTTAAAATAAATTATGTGATTATGTGTGTGTGTGTGTGTGTGTGTGTGTGTGTGTGTGTGTGTGTGTGTGTGTGTGTGTATTTGCATTATGCAATAAATTAGGGATACTCTGATCTTCATTCATTTTAAAAATTTATTTTCAACAGACAAGAAAGAATGATAACAAGACAGTATTTATTTGCAGTATTACACATCAAACTGGAATTATTTTTATATTGGAGGCAACCACTACAACTTAATCACAATCTAAGCAAAGATGCAACAATATTATGTAAAATTACATTAAGAGGTAAACAAAACATAAACAGCTGAATGAAAATGCAAAAGGACATTCTGTAGTAGGTGACATTCAAGTAACGACAGCGATATAGCTTTTACTTAGTTACAGCTGTAAACAAAACAGTTCTGTGCTTATAAACACTGGTTTAATATACATTATATAGAAGTAAGACAATAAAAGACTAAAAAAAAATCTAAACTTATAAACACAATTGTTTTCCCTCAAAAGACATTCATATCAAACTAGACTATAAGTTTAATGTTTAGGATTTACTCCTGATTTTGCCATATGTTGCAATGTTTTTCCAGATTTTATTTTTTTTTCTGTTTGGTGCATCCATGCTTCATCTGTTTACAAACGGGGAAAATGGTTTCTGATACGTTTAGAGCAGGGGTCACCAACCCTGTTCCTGGAGAGCTACCTTCCTGCGCATTTCAGTTGCAAACCTGACCAAACACATCTGTTTGTTATTATCAAGTGCTGCTTTAGGTACTATTAATTGGTTCAGGTGTGTTTGATCAGGGTTGGGACTGAATTCTGCAGGAGGGTAGCTTTCCAGGAACAGGGTTGGTGACCCCTGGTTTAGAGCAAAAAAAGTCTTCCAAGTGTATCCCAATAATTCATTGTATGACAGTTTAACTTTACAATTTATCACAAGAAAGAACAGAAGTTGAAGTTTCCCGCTCATGTTAATGTTGACTGATGTTTATGAAGGTTGGAGCAGGAGAAGGTGAGTCTGCAGAAGAAACTAAAGGGTAGAGGAGTGACCGCTGACCAGGTTGTTGGCGCACGAACTCTTGAGGCTGACAAAGAGATTGAAGAGCTTCACAAAAGGAATGCTGAACTGGAGCAGCAAATCAAAGTGATGAAGTGAGTTTTGCCTAGCAATCATTCCATTCTTCCCATTTGTGTCTAAGTTCAAATACATCAAATTTGTCAGCGTTATTCTGAGTAATGTTTAAAATTGATGGTTTTATAGGCAGCAGCAGGCTTTACCCCGTGATGCTGCGATGGAGGATATCACCAACAGAAACCGTTATCTTGAGGAGAGACTTTACTCAATGGAGAGTCGGCTATCCAAAGAGCCTCCATCCAGACCCTCTGTAGGTGCAACTTTTCAAATTTTGTGCCATCATGAATTTCATTTCTTTAACTTCACTTTCAGACTTCCTTTCATATCTGTTTCTTTCTCCATTCCTTCTGTTTTAACTCTGATAATAAAGGACAGACATTCAACATCACCATCTCAGCTCAGTTGGTCCTCAAAAGTTCGTTCTATGACTTTTGATGTAATCGAAGCTGAACAAACTCAGTCCTCATTATTAAATAGCACAGTTGTTGTAACTGAAAAGGAAATATCTGTTATAGAGGACAAAGCAACTCAAACTTCCTTCAGAAGTATAGATATGGGCACAGCAGAAGTGAACCAAGATGATGAAAATGTAGCAAAGAATAAAATAGATCTGGAACAAAAAGCTCTGATGAAGGATGACAAAACTGAGCAGGAAGAAAGCAATAAAGAAAAAGGATCTGTTGAGAAAGACGAAGAGCAACCAGATGAAACTCAAAGAGGGCAAGATGTAGCAGTTTTCGAATATGCTCAGGAAGAACTGAAGACTAATGATGAGGCAGAAGAGCTTGAGTCAGAACTGACACATCGAGAGATGATGGAAAAACCTTTGGATGAAGATCAGCTGGAAGTTGAAAATGAAGAGACAAATGCAGAAGAAATGTTATACAGCACTATGAATCAAGCAGAGCTAGAGACACCAAAGGTTCTTCTTGAGGGTGATGAAGATTATGGGCAAGAGCCTGAAGAACTTTTGAAATGTGAATGTGATCCATCTGCCGAATCTAAAGAGCTTGACGAAGAAGAAACAGCTCTCAGCAATTCAACCACATTTGATGCCAAACTTGTCTCTGAACAACCAGCAATGGAGAAAAACAAGTCGTTTACTCCTGAAGCAGGTTTTAACCCTAATTTAAGTGAAGTTTCCACTAGTAGAGAATTGAATGCAAACACTGAAAATGACATTCTTGGACATTTAAAAGCAAAGGTCACCAGGCTTAATGACAAAGAACATTCAATGAAAAGCAAAGCTCGAAAGGTACTTGAAGCATAGGTGTTCCCTCAGAGCTTCCAGCTTTCTCCACCCCATAACAGTGTTGGTTTTGAGTTTGTGTTGTTGTATTTAAAGACCTGCAGTGTCTGCTTTGCTGTTGTCCTTTAGTGCTTGCATTGCTCCCTCTCCTGTCTGCATCTAAAATATCTTTGTGGTTTGGGTATCGTTTAGCTGTGTGTTGTCAATAACTCTTTGTTGTTTCTACAGACATCTGGTCGAGGTTCTGATACCCCATCCCAAAGAGAGCATGAGTTCCAAAAGGAGAATCTCAGGTTGTCTACAGAAAACCTGGAGCTTCGTTTCCAACTGGAGCAAGCAAACAAAGACCTGCCTCGATTAAAAGTACTGTGAAATCTCTGTTATTTATAGCATGACTCTACTAACATGGACGGGGTATTTAGATGTTTACAAAGACTTTATAGATATGTTATAGAGATGCTGCTAAAAGATGATACACTGCAATTTAGATTGCATAATTACTGTTATAAAATTTAAGTTTTAAAGGTGCCATTGCATAGATTGATTCTCTGTTATCTACAAAACATGTATGTTGCTTAACTAAATTTAGAAATTCTTGAGAAACAATGTAAATGCTCATTTTATTAACCACAGAATTTAGCCCCTTAATGAAAAAGCATGATATTGACCATATATAGAATGGTTGTTAATATTAATGAGCTCTGCTCTGACACATACACACACAGCATGATGTATTCTGAAATACACACGTGCAAAATAATCATACTTCATTAGTCAATAAAATATTTTTACAAATTGAGTAGATGCCTTGTTAACAATCTATTCAACTGAAGTGGTAGAGAGGTTTGGTGTAGCTGGATGGATGGAGTGATCTGTCTTTATGTCAACAGAAAGCATAATTTGCTCCTGAGTTGTATTTTGGATGACAAAAGAGATTTTGAAGCTTTTTTGTATTTTAAAGCTTTAACGTATTTGAAAACATAAACAGGAGTTAGTTTCAACCTCTGCATGAACAGATCTATTCACACAAGAAAATTACATTAAGAGCTGAGTGATCGCACAATGCACAAACATGCATTAATCACTCAGCAGTTTAAAAATGTTTGTTGCTTCATTACAAACAAACACAGAAAACTATAAATATACACATTAAACTAGCAAAATATACTTTAAATAGACCTTATTGCTCTTTGAAGTTTCGCTGAATACATTTATAATCCGTATATCCTGCATTTTGCTATCTGACGAGCTGTGAGCACTTATACATGGTCTTACATGGCTGACTACTTCACAAAACTGCTCCTTTTTAGTCTCCCCACCTCTAAACGTATGCACTAAACTTAAAAAATAAGGAAATTTATAATTGTTTTAATCTCACTAGGAAACATGGCCATTCAAATGCAGCTTGGGACCATGTAATACGAATATTTTAATGATTTATGATTTTAGACTTTTGAGATCTACATGAGAATGAGGACTCAATTGGGTTCGGGGCTCTGAATACATAATTTTCATATACTGTTGTCTTAATATTCAGCTATGCCTAGGTATTTCGAGATTTTCATTCTGTGACACTTTATTCCCACACTACTCTGAATGACTATACCCATCCCCCACCCCCCTCCTTTTTTTTTTAATTACTGTAAAAATGTATTTTAATTAAACCTGCATTGTTTAACCTAAATGGTTAATCTACATTACATAATCTATTGTTTTTACCTTCCCACCCACTGTAATGGCAGGATCAGGTGTCTGACCTCAAAGAGATGTGCAGTGTTTTGAAGAAGGAGAAAGCTGAAGTGGAGAAGAGACTCAATCATCTTCGTGGGGTCAGTACAATAGCAGAACTTCTAAGATCCGGAAACTGTTTAAATTTCAACTTCCATTAATGTTTGCTCCTCTCATACAGTCCGGCCGCAGTGGGAAAACCATACCTGAGCTAGAGAAGACCATTGGACTGATGAAGAAGGTTGTGGAGAAAGTTCAGAGAGAGAATGAGAACTTAAAAAGGACATCTGAGGTCAACGTGCAGGAGCAACTTGCCACGCTGGAACGAGACCATGAGAAACTTAAGGTATATTTTGTGAACCTGATCAGGGATACACTATTGATCAAATGTTTGCCATTTTCTTTCTCCAGTCAGCATACCAATCTACTATTTAAGCTGCTGTTTCTTCTTCTGAGACCAAACACATTTTCCAGAGCTTTTTAAGCTGTGACCACCACCAAGCTTGGGTCAAACCTTCAGTGTTATGACTCTTTATGCTATATATAACAAAATCAACATTCACACTGCAGTAATGTTTTTATAGTTAATAGAAATATTGGTGGAAGTATCCATTTTGTGGCGTGTTTTTACAGTAAGAACTGGGGACATCTTTTGTTATAGGAACATCTCTTGGGGGAAACTAATTTAGCTCCTACTTTGGAGGAGGCTCTTTATAAGCTCAAGAGTACACTGATTCCCCAAATACATGCTATACAAAACACTGGTAAAGTAGTGTCAAGATTTACACATAAAGAAAGACTTGAATCTGCAACCTTTGTATGCCAAATTTAACTCTCTAAAGATTAAGTCATGTTCCCCCCATGTTAGCTTTGTAAATGTTTTAAAACATGAAAATAATGTGTTAAATAAATAAGATGAGAATTTCTTTTTCCAAAACAATTTTAATTTCAAATGTGAAAGAGTGCAGTGTATGAAGTTAGCAGTTAAACAACTGTTGTACAACAGACATCTCAAATTATCAAAATTAATATTGTGTAACATTTAAAAATCAGATATTATTAAAAATTAAAGACAGTATATACAGTGTGGCAAAAAGTATTTAGTCAGCCACCAATTGTGCAACTTCTCCCACTTAAAAAGACGAGTGGGGCCTGTAATTTTAATAATTATTATACCTCATCTTTGAGAGACAAAATAAGAAAGAAAATCAAAAAAATTACATTGTAGGATTTCTTTATGAATAAATTATTAAGTTCATCTGTTAAATAAGTATTTGTTCACCTACAAACAAGCAAGATATCTGGCTCTCACAGACCTGTAACTTCTTCTTTAAGAGGCTCCTCTGTCCTCCATTCGTTACCTGCATTAATGGCATATGTTTGAACTCATTATCAGTATAAAAAACACCTGTCCACAACCTGTCACATTCCAAACTTCAACAGAAAGACATCAGAAACAAAATTGTAGACCTGCACCAGACTGAATCTACAAAAGGTAAGCAGCTTGGTGTGAAGAAATGAACTGTGGGAGCACTTATTAGAAATCGAAAGACATAAAAGACCACTGATAATCTCCCTCAATCTGGGGCTCCATGCAAGGTCTCAGCTCATGGCGTCAAAATGATCACAAGGACCTAGTAAATGACCTGCAGAGAGCTGGGACCAAAGTAACAAAGGCTACCATCAGTAACACACTGCGCCGCCAGGGACTCAAATCCTGCTTAAGCCAGTACATGACAAGGCTGTCTGAAGTTTGCTAGAGAGCATTTGGATGAACCACAAGAGGATTTGGAGAATGGCATATGTATGGTCAGATGAAACCAAAATAACTTTTTGGTAAAAACTCAACTTGTTTGGAGGAGAAAGAATGCTGAGTTGTATCCAAAGAACACCATACCTACTGTGAAGCATAGGGGTGGAAACATTATGCCTTGGGGTTGTTTTTCTGCAAAGAGACCGGGATGACTGATCCGAGTGAAAAAAAGAATAAATGGGTCCACACACCGTGAGATTTTTAGTTAGAACCTCTTCCATGAGCAAGGATATTGACGATGAAACGTTTCTGGGTCTTTCAGCATTACAGCGATTCCAAACACATCAACCGGGCAACAGAGGAGTGACTTCGTAAGAAGGTCCTGGAGTGGCCCAGCATGTCTTCAGATCTCCAGATCTAATAAGTTCTTAAAAAATCTTAAATTTTGCAAAATCTTAGATTTTCTGATTTATTTTTTTCTCATTTTGTCTCCCATAGTTGAGGTATATGCATGATGAAAATTACAGGCCTCTTACCTTTTAAGAGGTAGAATGTGGACAATTGGTGGCTGACTAAATACTTTTTTTCCCCACTGCACATTTACCAGACACTTTTATGCAAAGTGACCCACAAATAAGGATAAAAGGAGAACTTCAAATAAGCTAAAAAAGCAATATGTAGATGCTTTGACATCAAAATCCAGTCCTTTTAAGACCGTGTTTATAAGAAAATGTCTGGTGCATATGGAGAGGAAGAGTGTCTCCTACAAGTGGTTTGTCAAACCCAATCACCTGTGTAATACACATTCAGAACTGCATAATATTCCACCATGTTTGTTATTCTTATGACCGTTTGTTTTGATTAATATGCCATGTCAATCTATTCAGAAAGAAGTTAGTTTTTACTATAGGCTGTTTTCTAAAATGTCAAGGAGTGGAACAAGTCAGAAAAAAACACCTATCTATATGTGGGAAGCTAGTTAGCCTCCCAAAAAGTCATGTAACACAGAGAAATAAGCCAGCAACATTTACAGCCAAGCACCTTAAATTGTGAACTGTTAAATTGTTAAATTATGTTGCATATCAGTGAAGCTGTTCAGTTGTTATGTTTTTGTTACCGCCATGGGCCTCATCTCTCAATTTTGTCAATTTTATTTATCTTCTGTACTAATATGCAGCTCTTTTCTCTTTTTTGTCTTTTTTTGCTACAGTCAGAATATGAAAAGCTAAAAGGAAAACAAGAGGAACAGCTGAACTCAAGACTCGAGTCAAAAACTAAGGGCATTGAGAAAATCATGATGGAAAATGAACGCTTACGAAAAGAAATTAAAAAGGTTTTTTATTTTTTCCTCAAATAAGTAAATTTTTTAGATATGATCTCAATATCTAAAGGTTGTGTATACACAAAAACAGTGTTACAAAAAAATGGCAAACTTTTCCTTATGTTTTTTTTTAACATTTCATTCAAAACAACAGCATTTATTCAAACTGGTCTGCAATAAAAAAGCTGTAATATGAATGCACAGCCAGAACAGTATTTTAAAAATGATTCTGTTTGTACCGATCAAGAAAATAATGCTGTAATATGGATGCAAGCCAGTAGTTGGTGCATATAAGGTCATGAAGTTTGCCATTTATTATTTTGGTTGTAAAGTACATGCACGTGCCTATAGAGTAAACATATAATACACATTTTTCTCATTTTCATTGAGACAATAATGGTAAAGTTGTCACAAACTTGCACTTTAAAATATAACCTGTTTTCAAGGCCCACAAAACATGTAAATGAACAACCAAAATACAAAAAAAAAAAAACTTTTTTTAAAATTTTTGTTGAAAAAATTTACATACTTTTTGTGTATACATCCCTAAAAGATACTTTTTTGCCAATGTTTTCATTGAGATGTAATAAAAGTGTGAAAATACAATACAACACAATTGTATTGACATCTTAGGATTGAAATCTTTAAAAAAAAAAAAAAAAAAAGGAGGGAAAGGGCACAAGTTGTTTTAATTAGTAACAGCTTATGATAACATATCTATGAAAACATATATAATATCCATATAATAACAGAAATGAAGATACATGTTTTGTGGCAAATTGCAGGAAGCAGAAGCTGCAGAAAAGCTGAGGGTTGCAAAAGCCAGCCTTGAAGTAGCCAATGAGAAGCTAAAGGCGGAGCTTGAGGAGACTCATCAGAGGCTGTTATTAGCACAGTCGAAGGGGGCGACTTTACTGGGGGTGGACAGCAAGACCTGGAAATCTTCAGTTGTGACCAGGTAGAACATTTACTTGAATGCTTCATCAATTTTATCATCATGTAAGTTAATGATTCGTTTTTCCTCAACAGGTTATTCGAAAACAAGATGAAAGGTCTTGAGAGTGACATCGCTAAGAAGAACATCAGCATATCAGAACTAAAGGTGCAGCTAAAAGAGGCAAATGAGAAACTGCAGGCCACACAGCACACCGTCATCCAGCTGAAGGAACAGGTGAGATGCTGATGTCCTAGTAAAATGACCAAATTCAATGTTTATTACTGTACAGTAAAGGCTGCAATGCACAACATGACTAGATTTCACAGAAAATTCAGCAACAGCAAAGACTGTTTCTGCACTGAGCCAATAGAAAGTCTACTGAAGGACAAGCAAACAAAGTTTGGTAACACTATAGTTACAATAAGTAACAATTTACATCATTTACTACCGGATACCTATTAGGAACTGTTTATTAGTACTAATGAAGTTTGTCCTTATTTTACGTCTCTAATCCTACCAATACCTAAACCCAACTATCTTTACTATTAATAAACAGATAATTAGTAATTATTGAGCTAAAAGTTTTAGTTTATGATTTGTTAATAGTGCAAATTGTACATTAAAGTGTGACCCGAAATTGCAATGATGATTATGAGAGGAATGTGATACAACATTGTGTAGCATTGTGTATAGGCAGTGGCATTGTGCATATTACGCTCAGTGGATATCACGATTACATTGGATTAGTGGAAGAATGTCAGATGGTCCAGTTTAGTTTTTACATCGTGTAAACTGCCATTTAAATTTGTGATATTTACCTTGAAACGTAATGGCACCAGGGTGCGTTTTGGGATGACAACAAGCCAATGGAGAGAACAAGTCTGGCTAGCCCCAGATATCAATCTTAACTAAGCATATGAGAGCTGTAATGGATTAACAAGCTTAACCTATGTAGCAGGTAGTTTCTATAGCTTTAATCAAGTGTTGTTAGTTTGGGGACACTCCCTAAATTTGCGACTATCACAGGTACACCTTACCAGTACCAGGTTGGTGATGTCATATTGACATGATAGCATCACGCAGCTTCTGCAGATTTGTCTGCTGCACATCCATGATGCGAATCTCCTGTTCCACCACATCCCAATGGTGCTCTATTGGATTGAGATCTGGTTACTGTGGGGGCCATTTAAGTACAATGAACTCATTGTCATGTTTAGGAAACTAGTCTGAAATGATTTGTGCTTTATGACATGGCGTTATCCTGCTGAAAGTAGCCATATGACAGAGTCAGGTATATCAGATGAGATGTCAGGTATATCAGATGTCAATGGCCGTTCTAGATACACCATGAATTTAACTAGTTAACCCGTTTTACGATCAAGTGCACTCAACCAATGGCTTTGTTTGGTAAAAAAGAGCATTCATTATATTGCTAAACTTAGAATATAAACAAGTCCGAGACGATAGAAAAACTTCTGGAGTCCTAGTCCAGACTCGAGTATTACAGACCCTACTGTTTTGCCACCAATCGGAGGACTAAGAACATATTAGACAATTGGTCCAAATGTTTTGTATTATCAGTGTTGGCTGTCCGTAATGTTTAAAAAGTTGTGCATTCCAGCCGTAGCATTCACATTGACTGTTTCCCAGAGATATAATAACTCAGTGTGTATTAACAGGTGGAACTGCTTAAAAACGTCCCTGTGGAAGCGACCACTGACGAAGGTCTTGCCAGAGAGTATCAGTCAGTGAGGTGAAGCACTCAACAGACAGAATCTCCATAGACTTAAAAGCACACGATATGGCTCAACTCATTCTTTGCAAAATATTTTCCATTTAGATTGGCCAATAAACAACTGGAGAGGGAGAAAGCTCAACTTCTGCGGCAGATTCAAAGGAATGAGGTGCAGCTTGGAACAAACAAAGACGGACCAGGTAAGATTTGCAATGTTTTCTTTTTTTTTGAAGAAGAAGAAGAAGAACTCGTATATAGTTCAACATAACACCTGTTGTCTGCTCATTTCCTTCTCTGTAGGATACACTGAGCTCCAGGAACAGATTAAAGCAGCAAACAACGAAAAGAAGAAATTACAGGTATCCCAAAAAGAAAAATGTCAAAATGATCTGCTGTTTTTAAATCTCAAGTCATTAATTGTGTCCATTATTTTTCTTCATGCACTCTTGAGTTTATGGCAGCACAGGGAATCGATTAAATTTGGCACACAAATACAGTATGGACTTCACAAATACCACATCAATTTTAGTCTCTAATTCAATCCCTATAGCACCACCAACTGTTTACACGTGCACTTTTGGACCGTAATTGCTAGAAATAAAATGTTTCCCTTTAATTCTTTGCTTCCAGGGTTACTCTGATTGCTGCCTCCTTGATGTGATTTTCCCTAATAAAAATGTTACACCCATTTTGAAATATTTATAAATATCTACCTTTTTAAAGTAGATAAAAGAAAAACAAACAAGATAGTCTTAAGACCATGCTAACAAAAAGTCAGAGTTGTCAAATACACACAAGCAAATTTGGTGAATAATTTGGCAAAATAGACATCAGAATGCATCTTTGCAATGCAACGTTTTGGGCTGAATTTGGCCTGAGGTTACCTCCATAGCGCCATCTCTAATACTGTTAATAATGGATATTTTTGTTTAGAAAAATTCCAAAACAGGTCGCTAGATTTTGAGCTGTATATCGAGTCAAATGATTAGGTCTGCACGATATTGGAAAAATCTGACATTGCAATATTTTATTTTCTGCTAAATATATTGTGATATACTATATCTACAAGATCACCAAATGATTGAATAGCACGTTTTGGAAAGAATTTTTAGTCTCACTTTATTTTAACATATACTTTCGCTAATAGAAAACCATTAACTACGCCTTTTGCTTCAATAAACTCCTAATTTGCTCATTAAATAGATATTAAGTTAGTTTAGGGATTATGTTAAAGATGTAGAATAAGATCATGCAGAATATGTAGTCTTACTAATAAGCAGCCATTATCTCCATAACATGCATGCTAGTATGCAATTATTTAATTGTGAGCATTGGTCCCTAAAGTGTTACCGAATGTATTCTTTTAGATTGATTGGGATGATTCTGTAGGGAAGTGAATGATGCATACAGTGTTATTAATAAGTTAGAGGCATAGATGAAAATAATACAATAATATGTATATACACGTCAAAATGACACTGCTGATTCTTTATTGTAAACATAATGCAATAGAATTATTCTTTAATAAACTTCCAAATATCAAAGGGTCTTTTGCCTGAATACTTTAATCTCTCTCAGGCCTTAAAAAAACATGCAAACTATAACATTTCACTCCGTTGTGGTTAAACTCTGCAGGGATTCCACAAGTCTTGTGTTCTGAACTGCGACTTTTGCTAAAAAATACAACCCTAACTCAACATTGCATATCTATGCAATTGTGGATGCATACATTGCAATATCCATTCTGAAACTATTATTATGCAGACTTACAAATGATACACTTTTATCATTGCCTATTTTCAATTTTGTTCCCTTTATAAATACATGGTTTATTTAAAGGCATATCCATGTTGTCAACAAAAAACATCAATTTCTTGACACAAAGCTTGGTTTCAAGGTTTTAAGTGGTAAGGTCAAATTGACCTCAGTGGGGAAAGTTATCAAATTTTAGGCTAATAGAAGGGTTAAATTAGGATTCCATATATTAATGGCACTGATCTTGAAAGATTCCTTGGATCATGCCAAGGATATCAAAACCAGTGAGTGTTAACTGCCTTAACAAATATTAAGACATAATGCTAAACTGCTACTGTGGCCATATTTGACAAAATACTTTACTGTTTGTCTCTGTGACCCAAAACTGACCACATCACATCTGTCAGGGGACAACAACACTAAGGCTGCATTTACACTGCATGGTTCAAGTGACTCAATTCCGATTTTTTTCTGTCATGTGGCACACATCAGATTCGGTCCGTATATATGTAAGCAGGAAAAAATCACATTGATTCCGATTTACTCAAATCAGATTCTTGTTCATATGTGGGAAATTTCTCCGATATGAATCGGATCTGTGCCCTAGTGTCTGCAGTAACAGCAGGTAGATTGGATTTTCACCTACCAAATGCGAGTCGCGCATCAATAAAAACCATAGTGAGTGACCTCAACTCTGGCGCTTTCATTTCAGAACAGACTAATATAGCACAAGTATTTCAGCTTGTTAACGAGAGAGAGAGAGAGTGCAATATCTACCATGTAACCATTCATTGATTCATTTTCTTTTCGGCTTAGTCCCTTTATTAATCCGGTGTTGCCACAGCGGAATAAACCGCCAACTTATCCAGCACGTTTTTATGCAGCGGATGCCCTTCCAGCGGCAATCCATCTCTGGGAAACATCCACACACTCATTCACTACGGACAATTTAGCCTACTCAATTCACCTTTACCGCATGTCTTTGGACTATGGGGGAAACCGGAGCACCCACGCGAACACAGGGACAGCATGCAAACTCTACTCAGAAACGCCAGCTGACCCAGTCAAGGCTCAAACCAGCAACCTTCTTGCTGTGAGGCGACAGCACCACCTATTGCACCACTGCGTCGCCTACCATGTAATCAATATAAACTAATATAAAACTATCGCATACATCACGTGCATAAATCATACCATGGACATGACATTAAAATGCCATGAAGATGGCCGCATGAGAACTTTTCCATCATAAACTACAGGAAAACAACTTCATTTTTAAAAAATGAAACCCTGCAAAGGTTTCAGTAACTGAGAAAACAGCGCTCTTTTATTGTCAGCTGTTTATTATCAGTCAGCACCCGCGCTTTTTTCCTGGTCATTGCGTCTTGTCATTGTGTGCAGTGTAAATGCAGACAATCGGATATGAGTCACTTTTAAAAGATGATGTAAGCAGGTCATCAAAAAAAATCACATACAGTCACAATATCGGAATTGACCATCGAGATCTGCAGTGTAAATGCAACCTTATTAATCAAAGCAATAAGCAATTATGTCACATTACAAGCAATTCTATTTGTGTTTTTAACCACTTGGTTATCATCTTATGATGTCTAATATTTCTCATTTGTCCCCCTCATTCTGTTTTGCTCCTTAATTGTTGATTGCAGCTAAATTTATAAATGCTTTCATTTTAGGATGAAGTGAGGAAACTGACCCAAGAGCTGAAACACTTTGACCCAACATTTTTTGAGGAACTTGAGGATCTTAAATTCAATTACAACCTGGAGGTGAAGAAGAACATTGTTCTGGAGGAACAGCTGAAGAAGCTTTCGGATCAGTTTGGTGTGGCGATTCCTGATGTGTCTATCAACTAGCAGATATCAGATCATGAGGACACTGGATTTATTATTACTGCGAAGTTAGGAGCTAAATATATGTACATTTAACAATTGGTAGGTGCATATTTATTTTTTCTAAAATATTAAGACATTTTCATAAGAAAGAAGGTTTTACACTAGTAGGTTTTGTATTTGTGGCCTTACAAGCAAGAACTGAAACTGAAGTACAACAAGTCATCACTGCCTCAATTTTGAGACTGTATAGATGTACAGTAATAAACGATTTGTTGGAATTATTCCTGAACCATTCTCAGAACCCTGTTTGAAAACATTTACTAATTAAAAAAGAAAAAAAGTGCAAAATATAAATCACAGCATTTGCAAACATCACATGCCTAAGTGCATATATAAGCACGGTGTCGAAGAGAACTCGCTACAGGCAGTTTTGACAAATATAAAGTGTTGGCGAAGGTTCTTCACTCTGGCCAAAGCCAGATTGAGAAGGAATGTTGGGTAGTTTAATTTTATGTGATCAGGGTTCAAACTGAATGTCCCGCACGCTGCTGAAAGTTTGTCTGTTTACGCTGGAGAACGATTTAAACAAGTCCTTCTCGGAAGCACATGGATCAGCATCTGATTCGTCAACATGAACGACCACCGGCCTGGTGTTCAGGAAAGTGTCGGCAACTGGCCATTTCAGACCTAGATGATGGCGGTGAATCTGGAGAACGAGATTCAATATGATTTAATATGGAGAAATTGTGAAAGATTTAGAAAACGTGCAACAAAAGAGTGATCTTTACCTTGATAAGCATCCCATCGTCACAATGCCAAACAATGCCCTCCACTCGTCCCTCCTGGCATTCCTGAAACCAGGAACAAATCTGCTGGAATTCTACAGCTGGAGGGTTCCGGATACGCAGAACCCCGTGGGGAACCAGAACATGGACTGGATGCTTCTTACTTCCCAAACCTACAGATTTCACAGTCAGTTATGTTCTAAAGGTTTCCACATAGCCATGTTCGTAAAACTTTAAGAGCATTATCAACCATAAATGTTTATGGTTTGTGTATCCTACTCTCCTAGTTTCCTTTTTGAATGACAATTGTAAACGGTTGATATCTGCTCATTCAGACAGTTATCTTCTTATCAGTTTTAGTACAACAGTATCCTGGTTGGGTTTTAACTTATTCATTAATTTTCCTTCGGCTTTGTCTCTGTTGGAGAGGTTGCCACAGCGGAATGAATCGCTAACTATTCCAGCATATGTTTTATGTAGTGGATGTCTTTCCAGCTGCAACCCAGTATAGGGAAACATTAATACACAACAGACAATTTAGTTTATTCAATTGACCTATAGTGCATGTGTTTGGACTGTGGGGGAAACCAGAGCACTCTGAGAAAATCCACGCCAATATGGGGAGAACATGCAAACTCCACACAGAAATGCCAACTGTCCCAGCCAGAACTTGAACCAGCGACCTTCTTGGTGTGAGGCAAGAATTTTATTGTAATTATTACTTTTCAAAACTATTTTATCCATACAGTCGGACCCTCTGACACTCGCAATGTGGAAAAACATTAATAGAATTGTGACATCCAGTCATTTTGACTGACCATGTCAATATACTGTATGAGGAAATGAGCCCATGTCTCCAAAGCTGATCTGAGAGACACTTCACCATCATTTAACCCTTTTTATGTGAGGGAAAATAATCGTGTATATATATATATATATATATATATATATATATATATATATATATTTTTTTTTTTTTTAAGTTTTTTTTTTTTTTTCAGCTATTTTAATACATTAAGTTAAACTTGTTTTGTAGCTGAAATTTCAAATACGCCTTTTAATCCAGTTACCATTTGATTTCAACTGACAAAAATGATTTTGGTTTTATGGTTTTAGATTAGTAAAATGACCAACAAATATAAAAAATGATTTCTAAGCATCAACTGACAGTGAAGACATATTGCCTGCTGAAAACTAAACTTTGGATCCCAGGAATTAAATGCATTTTAATATTTAGTAAAATAAAATCAAAACCCAGTATTAATATTTTAAAGCATTTCTAGTCAAACTAACACAGCCTTGGTGAGCATAAAAGCCTGTTTGATTGACAGCCTACATGATACTTGCCATATGGATTTCCATTAACATTGGTGCCGATCAGCTCAAGTGTTTGCTCCATCAGGTCTGCCAGAGGAACGCTGACGATTTCAAGCTGTCCTTCATCCTCCCCGTGGGTCTTCAGGACAAGAGCAACACCTGTGCCATAGTTGACCACTGACGAGTGCCAGCAGTACTGCTTGTTGGTATGATCCACTGGAACCCAACCTTCATCACACAGACACATGATTCAGTACAGCTTGAAACTATACGACAAGAAGAGAAAGTGTGTTCAGAGTCTCCAACCCACCAGGTATGTGTCCGTGTTCATCAGGCACTGGATGACCGTTCTCGTGCTGTACTCTGTGAGCAGCCATCCAGAATTCAGGCACTTCTCGGAAATCTTCATTGACGTTCCACACAAACCCTGTTATTTAGCAGAGGATATAAACAATCATGTGTACATTTTTGTATTTATTCCCTGCTTCGTAATTTAATTTTTGGTCACACTTTACGATAAGGTTTTGTTAGTTAATGCATTTACAGACATTGAACTAGAGATGAAAAATAGTTGCATAGCATTTATTAATGAATCATCGTTCAACATTTACTAATGAATTATTACAGTCCAAAACAATACTTGTTAACTTCAATTAATGCATTGAGTTAACATGAGCAGTTATATTCATTGATGTCAGTAAAGATGAATAGATACTGCAATAAATGTATTGCTCATTGTTCATGTTAGTAAATATATCAATTAATTTCATCTTATTGTAAATTGTTACTTATTTTATATCGGAAACTATAATACTACTTTATAGTCTAAATGCAGTTTTCTTTACACTTTACTACAAAAGGTTCTCAATTTCGGTCCTGGAGGTTCCTACACACATGGGCTAGCTAATCAAGCTCTTGTAGCGCTACTTTAAAAAAAAAGGGGGGGGGTTGAACAAGATAATTAGACATTTTAAAAAGCTAGCAAGTTGTCCAGATTTTAAATTTCTGTCCAGAGAGGTCATGTTTTAATCTTCTATTGGTTTTACGCAGTCAGAAATTACTAAGCTAACTAAACTAACTAAGCTAACTAAACTTCACAAAGCAGCAAACTGCGAAACTTGTCCTATAAATGGAAGTCTTTACTAGGCTTTCTACAAACATTCTTGCAGGTGTGTCGAGGCAAATTGGAGCTAAAATCTGCAGGACATCGGACTTCCAGGACCGAGTTTGAGAACCCCCGCTTTAGAATATAATTAGCTCATGAATTTAAGGTCATATAAATATACCTTTACAGGTCTTCTGTGAATATTGATACTTTTTGAATCTTTTGTCCGCCTGCTTGGTGGGTTTCCGATCCAGGCGAGCCCAGAGATATGGTTCCCCTAAAAAACATTATAGACTAATAATTATAGATTAAAGGCAGTTTTTTTACAATTTAAAATATAATAAATGTTCAGTGTTTAAGTGGTTATTTTTAACATAATAAAATTGTGAAATATTTTTTTCTCTCCTTTTCTATAATTTTTCTTAAATAAAAATGTAATATAATAATAATCAGACCTTCTAACAATTTCTCTCTCTGTGTCTCTTATATATATATATATATATATATATATATATATATATATATATATATATATATATATATATATATATATATATATATATATTAGGGATGTAACGGTATCAGAATTTCACGGTACGGTAATACCTCGGTATGAATGTCACGGTACGGTATTTATTGAATCATTTACAGGAAAAAAAAAACTTTTGAAAATACTCCAAAAAAGTGCCAAAAGTGTCAATGACATACAAATTAGCCATCTATCTGTAAGCTTTGAAACAGGAACTTCAATTTTAATAACAAAAAATTATTAAAACCATGTAAAAAAATAAAGTTTCAATTTAGTATTGTTGAAAACTCATCACATTCAACATTTAATCACTCACTTAGATAGAGATGGGTTTAAAGGAAAATTATCATATAAATATAATCTGGTAAAAGCTGGTATCTCTGGGTATTTACAATGTCCCCTGCAACAGAAAAAACCCCTCTCATTTGGGACTGAGGTTTCTGGGACAAGAGAGATATGACTTGGCCCATGTTGACAGCAGTGGGTAACGTTGTGCATTGTCTTTCCCCCACTTGAGAGGACAAACCATGAGTGAGATAGAGGTCTCTTTGCGGTACAAGTCAATGTCTGCATCAATCTGAACAGTGTGCTGTGTTTCTGAAGTCCCCATGACTGTAATTAGTCGTATTCCCCAACTTGCAGGCACGTGCACACATAGGGCTCAACCTGTGCAGTGCACATGCCCTTTTTAGTCTTGGATAGAAAATGCCCTTCCAAAACGATCAAAAGTGCCCCCGCGACGCGACACAACCTCCGTCCAGTCCAGCCCTTCAGTAGGCGCGCGAAAACACCTCTCTTGAGTATGCGCGCTCAACCCCCCCTCGGCGCTTTACAATACGCGCGCCACAACACAGCTGATCAGAACGCGCGCGACAGCACCGCTATTCAGCACGCGCGCGGCGACAACACCCGCTTTAGGTTCGATCATTTCCATCTTTTTTTCATCTCCGCTACTAGCAGCACACTCCATTTCCGCATTACTGGATCTGTAGCGACAACAGACCGCAAAGGATTATGGCCACGCCGGGGCTGATGGGAAATGAAGTTTCAGCTACCTCCCGTTCGCTTCATTCGCCTGAGCAAATTTTCTCTGAAGACCTATAGTTTTACCGAGTCATGCGACTTCGGTAATATCGAAAAAATTTAATATTGCGGTATGACGGTATTTACAATACCGTTACATCCCTAATATATATATATATATATATATATATATATATATATATATATATATAATCTTATCGGTCACTTGATTAGGTACACCTATCCTAACTGCTCCTTAACGCAAATTTCTAATCAGTCAATCACATGGCAGCAACTAAATGCATTTAGGCATGTACACATGGTCAAGATGATCTGCTGCAGTTCAATTCGAGCATCAAAATGGAGAAGAAAGGTAATTTATGCGACTTGGGGGAAAAAAAAAAAAGATTAACTCAGGTGAGGATCGAACACGGGTCGACGGCATGGTAACGCAACATGCTGACCGCTGGACCACAATGGTGCTGTTATGATTCGGAGGCTACAGTTTGCTCATGGGGCTGCGACAAAATATTGAATAAAAAGAGTGAGGCTATGGTCAAATAAATGAAAAAAGTGCGCCTGATGCTTTCTCCGTTCGCCATACTGGAGAGGAACAGTCTGCGCAAATGAAGCGCAGAGTTGGTGTCATCGACTCAATCTCTCATCTGATTGGCTGAAAGGTACGAGTTGCCCTGACTCTGGCAGGAAAGTCTCAAAATTACACACACACGTATCCAGGGGGAGTCGTACGTAAAAGAGGATTTGCACATTCTCATTCAGGATGAACTCGCTAGTTTTAAACATTCAAAACTTTTTGTACACTCTTATACATTTGCAAATGGTGTTTTGCATTTGTGAAACGTATTTTATAAAAATGTATTTTTATTTTGTGCACGTGAAATTTTTTGTGTGAATATAAATAAATATTTTACGCAAGTGAATTTGATTTTATGCACGTGAATTTGGCTACGCATGTGTACATCGTGTCTTTTGCGTGAATTACTTTCGAGTCTTTTCTGACTCCATAGAGGTCAGAGGAGAATGCCCAGACTCGTTCGAGCTGACAGAAAGGCAACAGTAACTCAAATAACCACTTGTTACACCCAAGGTAAGCAGAAGAGCACCTCTGAATGCACAACTCGTCCAACCTTGAGGCGGATGGGCTACAGCAGCAGAAGACCACACGGCGTGCCACTCCTGTCAGCTAAGAACAGAAAACTGAGGCTACAAATCGCACAGGATCACCAAAATTGGACAAAACAAGATTGAAAAAAATGCTGCCTGGTCTGATGAGTCTCGATTTCTGCTGCAACATTCTAATGGTAGGGTCAGAATTTGGTGTCAACAACATGAAAGCATGGATCCATCCTGCCTTGTATCAATGGTTCAGGCTGGTGGTGGTCTAAATATGTGCATACAGTATCTACAGTACAGAATCTTAAAACGTGAATCATTTTCAAAATAAGAGATCCTGTTATGTTTTTTTTAATACTGTCCTGAGTAAAAAAAAAAAAAAAAACACATGCATGCATACATACATACATACAACATTACATACAGACTGGTCCACAAGACCAAAAATTGATTACATTATTTAAATAACCCTCTGGTTTATAAGACTGTGTGGGGTTACCTGGATGACCTGTGACCTACTATGCATGAGTCTCATGTTTTTTTCTGAAGAGTTAAAGTGCCGGCTGAGTCCTCCAGATTCTTCAGTTTTCCAGCATATTTTGCATGTTTGAACTCTTTCCAGAAGTGACTGTGTGATTTTTCCATACCGATGCATCTTTCCACACAGCAGATAGTTGAGAGACTCAAACAGAATTATTAAAAAAAAGTTCAAACACTCACTGAATTTCCAGAAGGAAACGTTTGGAACATTAAGTTGGTGAACACTTGAACAGAATGAAGCGTTCCCAGTTTTTCTTTTTCTGTTGAAATGTTTTCCATTTAGTGCTGCTCTTCAGAAGCTGCAGAAGATACTTGCATAATTCCTGGAAGACGAATTAACTACAATTTACTGTGATCTTCAAATTCATAACATTTTCACCCATCAGCTCTTAATGTTTCCTTCTGGAGCATCAGTGAGTGCTTTAATCGTTTTTTTTTTTAATAGTGGTGTTGGAGTCCCTCATTGTGAAAAGGTGGATCTCAAATCATCTCTAAATCGTACAGTGACTGCTGGAAAGGGTTCAAATATGCAGAAGATGCTGGAAAACTGGATAATCTGCAGGATATGGAGGATTTTTCTGAAGCACGGCAGCACTTTAACTGTTCACAACAAACCAAGGGACTCATGAATAATCATCACAAAGGAAAAGAAACGTCGTAGATCATCTGTTAACCACACTTGGCATTAAAAACCAAGAGATCGCTCACTGCAGGGGTTATTTGAATAATGTCATGTTTATATGTACAAACCATTAGTTCTTAGTACTAAAGACATATTATAAAGCTTTTTTGTATTATCTCTCTCATTTTGTCAAAATTATTAAGATTTTTACAAACTTTCACATAACCGTGTGTGTGTGTGTGTGTGTGTACATAAGCACCCATTAACCTAAACTACACATTTACTAATCAAATTTTGTGAATATTGTGATTTTTGTAATTTTGTAAAATAAGCTTTTTCTGCTCACAAGGCCTGTATTTATTTATCTAAAAACACATTAAAAACAGTCAAGATGTGAAAATGGTTTTGCAATCTAAAATATCTGTTTTCTTATTGAATGTAATTTCAAATTTAATTTAACCATGTGATTTAATGCTGAATTTCCTGCATCATTATTCCAGTACTAGTATGATATAAACTCACTGGCCACTTTATGAGGTACATCTGTCCAACTGCTCGATAACGCAAATTTCTAATCAGCCAATCACAAGGCAGCAACACAATGCATGCTCAATGGGCATGAAGACATAGTCAAAACGATCTGCTGCAGTTCAAACCAAGCATCAAAATGGGGGAAGAAAGATGATTAAAGTGACTTTGAAGGTGGCATGGTTGTTGGTGCCAGACGGGCTGGTCTGAGTATTTCAGAAACTGCTGATCTACTGGGATTTTTATGCTCAACCATCTCTAGGGTTTACAAAGAATGGTCCGAAAAAGAGAAAATATCCAGTGACATCAGAGGAGAATGGCCAGACTGGTTCGAAAGGCGACAGAAACTCAAATAACCACTCGTTACAAAAGAGGTATGCAGAAGAGCATCTCTGAATCCACAACACGTTGAACCTTGAAGCAGAAAGGCTACAGCAGCAGAAAAACCCCACTGGCTGGTGGTAATACTAACTGAGCATCGTGTCAATGCCACACCCTACCTGAGTATTGTTGCTGCCCATGTCCATCCCATTATGACCACAGTGTACTCATCTTCTAATGGCTACTTCCAGCAGGATAACACGCCATGTCATAAAGCGTGAATCATTTCAGATTGGTTTCTTGAACATGACAATAAGTTCACTGTACTCTGATGGCCTCCACAGGCACCAGGTCTCGATCCAATAGAGCATATGGGATGTGGTGGAACGAGAGATTTGCATTATGGATGTGCAGCTGACAAATCTGCAGCAACTGTGTGGTGCCATCATGTCAATATGGACCAAAATCTCTGAGGAATATTTCCAGTGCCTTGTTGAATCTATGCCACAAAGGATTAAGACAGTTATGAAGGCAAAGGTGGGTCTAACCTGGTACTAGTAAGGTGCACCTAATAAAGTGGCTGGGGGTGTATAGAGAGAGTTGAATGTTAAATATATGAGATGAATGTTTAAATCAACAATAAATCAACAACAACAAACATTTTACAAATGTTGACTTATTTAGGATCCAGATTGTACCATTGAATGTGGTGACATAGCAGCATGTCCCGTCAACCTTCTCAGTGGCTGCAGCACAGTGGACATCTGATGCCAGAGCAGCAGGGCTCACATTCTCAGTAGCCACAACCTGAAACTGCTGCACGGGCAGAAGAGGATGAGAGCATGTCAGATCAGCTAACAATCAAACCTATACACTATCCTCATCCACAACCAATTTCCATTCATTGTTGTATTCATAGTTTAATGTGATTAAATAGCACTTTTACCACAGTCACTTTTTTACGTGCTTTCTAAATAAACGTATTGTCTACATTCTGACAGTGTCTCTGTGATGCGCGAATTAAAATAAAACAAATACAAAGCAGTGATATTGACAGTAGGCAAGGCCTATTTAGTAATGCTTTCCCTAGCTCATAATCACTTTAGTGATTTAATATAACGTGTACACTGACGAAAAATACCGATTTTTTTACCCACCTGACAGTCGCGTTTTCTGGATGGTTCGTCTCTCACTTCCGTCAGGAAAACGCATGGAATCTTCTGCTGCACTGAACCCAGACGCCGCATTATTACCGCTGTTGATCAGCTCGATTGTCAAGTTGCTTTGCAGAATTACTATGGACTGATGACATCAACACATTATCAGATCAGCCATGCGCCCAGTGCTATTTTGTTCAGATTTCCTCTCGTTCCTTAGTGTGTCATGTTCTGATCTTTGTCGCCATCTATTGGAACGGAGACTTTTCATAATGGCGCAATGTGACTTGTTTAAAACTACATCTGTTTTAAATTGTACTTTCAAATAGTTGAACTGAGAAATAAACGAATGCTGCTTTAAAATAACAAGCTCTATTCTACATGGAGCGTGTCGTCTAAGGGGAGCGCCATGTTGACTCTCGACTTTTGCTTATTTTTGTAAGTTTTGAATGGAAAGTAAATATGTCCAGTTCAGTTAAAGAGATAGTTTACACACAAACTTAAATCTGCCCCAGCAAATGCTTATTTATTTATTTTTAGCTGAAACTGTGGTCTTTGTTGAAATTTAAAATGCTGCTCGCTTGGTTTGTCAAGGTTGTGGATGATTAACTGCATCATTGAAAAAAAAAAAAAAACTAAAGTGCATCCGGAAAGTATTCATAGCGCTTCACTTTTTCCACATATGCACACTCTATACATATACATGATACACTCCATACTCCATACATATACAGACATGATACACTGCATACTATACCTATACACAAGATACACTACATATACACTATATATTGTGCAACCCCCAAATTCATCAATATATTTTTTTTCAAATCCCATGCCAAAAAAGTATTGTGTTTAATAAATCTCTCATGAAAACAGAAACTGTAATGCCAACAACTTTAATTACAGAGAGTCTGCAGACAACCTTAAGTGCAAGAGCATCATATGCATTAATGACTTCTCATTGAATAGCATTCTGAATGTTGTCATGCCCTTCAAGAGCACTCCATTAAGCCTATTGAGTAAATATGTACCAGAGCGCGCACACGCACACACACACACACACACACACACACACACACACACACACACACACACACACACACACACACACAATTGTCATTTTCAGTAATATAATTTCATCTTTTGTACCATGTAACTTCATTTACGCCAGGAAACACCTGATCCAGGCATACGATAAGCAATCCAGTGCAAAAGTGATGTGCTCCATTGGTAACATCCAGAAGAGACCTGAGGTAGGTCAATCAGTATCAAAGTCAATCAGTATCAACACACTAAGACTTTTATTTGCTATCTCCATCAGGTTTCATGCTGAAAGGCTCCAGCCGCTCACTCTCGGGCAGCATGTTGTTGAGGCGCTCCATGAGTGGTACAGTCTGGTCGATCCCCATCTGAATACGTCTCAGAATCATCGACATCTCATTGACCTTTTGGATCTGCTCGGCGTATTTGGCGTACCGCTTTTGCCTTTCCTGCATGATGCTGAACAGCGCCTCGACTGACAGGTCCATCTGACAAAAACACACACACTATTTAGTATTTTGGATGTGCTTTCTGAAATTGTTTTGCTGATTAGAAATGATGGTGAATACCTCTTTGATCCTCTTGACCAAAGCATTCTGGTCAAATGCAACAGCCTCCGCACACTGGTGCAGATGATCCTGATATCTTACACACAGTTGCAGGACCTGTGCTGAATCCAGCTTTTCTAAACACACAGTGCTGGGGGAGGTTTGTCCACTGAGAACACCTGAGAGGATCACAACAATATTAGGATCAATTTAGGATTCATATATTAGTTACTTCCCAAATGACACACTATTCAATAAACTGTGTAGTGCATCATCCCAAATGATTTTGTTTTTTTTTACTGACTGATAATTCAAACATTTGCCATTCCATGTGACAGTCATGTGGGATCCGCACAGCATCAATAAGGACAAAATTTCTAACCAGCATGCACTGCCTAAGACCGGATGCATGCACTGCAGGCCGTCGGAGCAGAGGGGAGACGGGACATGTGTGCTTCGGCATGGTTCAAGGCAACTGTACACAGTGTGAGTACGCCCTTAGTTACTGTTGCCTTTCTATCAGCTTGAACCAGTCTGGCCATTCTCCTCTGACATCACCAGATAAAGCACCTAATTAACCTAATAAAGTGGCCAGAGAGTGTATATAGTACAAAATGCTGCTCTTATTGACTAAATGTTTTCACAAAGTAATGAAATTATTATTTTTTCCTGAGGGCAGCAACCTCTCAGCTGATTCTGTAAAGTATACGGTTGTAAGAAAAAGTCAGCACATGATTTTGATGAAAAAATTAATGCAGCACAGCAGTCACAATGTACACAAAGTGGAAGTAACTTGGGTTCAGCAGAGTTGAAATAAACCCCAAAGCATCTTAAACTAAAAACCTTTACATTTACATTACCATTATAATTTACTCCCCTAATGTAAATGTAGTTGTGCCTGCTGTTACAGCAGTGTGCTCTCCTAATTAATTTCAGACACCCTTTGAGTATAATGTTTACCATTCTACAGCTAATTACCATTTGTTTAGGGGGGTGATCAGCCCAAATGGTGAAGAAACCACAATAGCACCACATAAACCACATTAATCTCTATATTAAATAAAAGCCTTTTGCTTTGGGTTGATTTGATTGTTTTACTGAAAACGGGATTCTTATGTTAAAGCAGGACACTGTAACTAAATGCAAACAGAATCTAGTCAGTTAGTACATTTATTATATTGAAGTTTAAAATAAACATAAAAAACATGTCTAAGTTTAGCTCTTATTTGTTTGTAGGCATTTGAATCAATACTCGGATAAACACTTTGAAGACAGATATGTCAATTGCACATGAAAAAATGTAAAAAATATATATATATATTTTGCAACTTTTTATCAAACAGTGCTGAATGCAAAGTAAACTTGAAAATACACCACAACAACAAGTCCTCAAGAGCTCCAATATGATAATTCACCAAGACAGCGACATACAAGACACGTTTCATTCTTTTCGCTGTTATAATACAACAGAAGAAAACTGGCAGAACAGTGGCTTACTGAACTAAAAGGCTGTTCAATTTCATATTATATATAAAATACAAAAATATATATAATAATATTTTTAAAGTGTTTTTTCCCTTATATTTCAAGTGATTAAAATGCAATTATCCTACTCTCTCCCTGATATATAAGATCTAAATTTACATATGTAATTATATATTGTACACCAGGTAAAAGTAGCAGTTCTTTGCAATAAGTGTAAATAAATAAACGTCTATTTAATTAATGTAATCTATATAGATACACATTATAGATTACAGATTCATAAGATTTGCACCTCAGTATTGTACACCAACATGATGCAATAACATGATGATAAAATACGATAAAAAAATTAAAGTGTACTTTTTTATCTTCATCAAACACATTAGGGAATTTTTCTTTTACAATATTTACTTCTTTTTTTATTGAAAATTAGTTCTAAAGTGATATGACACAGGGAATGTGAAAAGAGCAAGCTCTGGAAAAGCTGGTCTCTATTCAGTCGTGTTATAACACCTTATTGCTGATCACAATGCTACTTACACACCACTGAAGCGGTAATTCACAAGTGTTTGTATGAACTTTGACTTTTGTATACTTGATAATAACTCACATTCAATTTTCATCAAGAATAGTTTACCCACACTGGCCGAGAAAAACGCACTTAGATGCCCCAGGGAAAAAATACTCTTCTCTCATTTACTGATTTATATTTTACTTAAATGCTTAATAAGTAAAGCATTTTTGCAGTGTGCATGAATGAATGAAGTATTTATAGGTGACCAGGTTAGGTTCATAGACTCGAGTAGGAGTTACCTGCATTTCAGAAGGGAGGGCTAGATTTACTCTGCTTTCCCAGGTTTGACATACCTCCCTTTTAAAGAGGAAAACCCAGTTTCCCTGATTTCCGGCTTAACATACTCAGAGTTTCAACTTAACCTCCTTTCTGAAATGGCTCTTCCTGATCTAAAACCTAAATGTTAATGTCAATCCCTGATACCAAACCTACATGAACAGCATAACTAGTTAGCATTTCCACCGCTGCTTACCTTTCAGTAGTGGCTGAAAGGTGGGAATCTCCTGTAGCTTTATTACATCAGGATCATTGTGGATGTTTCGTAACGACTGTGTTCCTTGAGCAACCACTACTATGTCATCCATTTTGGCTCTATGCTTAGCTGGAGAGGGTACAACTGAAAACACGAGACAGAATTTACTGATAGATAAAATTGACAAAATACGTAAGACAGAAAACAACTGCATTATCACAGGCATATGTCAATATGCCAGATATAAATAGATACCATTGCTGTGTGTAGCATATTTCTCTTCAATAATGAGCACAATATCTTTGGAGTGGTAATGATGTAAGGTTTAGTACCTGAAGCACTGAAGTCTGAATGTTTATGATCTGCGTCTCCACTCTGCTCAGCACCCATGTTGCACTTCGGCTATGCAGTCAACGTAAACCCTGAATTCAAAACAAAATGAAACGTAGAGCTGATATGAATATGAATACATTACATTATTCATTTAGAACAATAATTATCCTTTTTATGTGTGTATGCGTATGTACATAATACAAATGTAATACAGCTAATACAAATGATAACATATATAGTTTCATTTCCTAATATTTTACGACACAGATACTTTAAATACGATACAGGCATGCAACACTTACCTAGATGTTGTGTTTAGCTGTTAAGCTGCAGTCTAAATGTGTATTGTTTACAGGATTGAGCGGCTTGCTATTGCTTTACATTTCAGCTAAAGATAGATAAATCTGAGACATTTTACCATAGACCTGCAAGTGTAAGCGTTTATGAAAAAAAGTAAAATAAGATTACAGTCGTACAGAACTGCAAATGAAACATCCGGTTTGAAAATCATGAGACGCGTGATGATGACGTCATTGTTTTGTTTACATGTGACCATTCGTGCATGAACGAGTTTTACGCTCTATTCAATCTCGTATCATTGAATTTAGTTTACAAATGGGATAAAAAAAATATAAAGCGATCTTTGGAAAAGCGAAGAAAAAGTGCGTAAACGAAGACGAATTAAAATAAATAAAAATATGGTGAATTATCTGGTTGAATTTACATTCATGCATTATCTCTTTTGAATGACATGTAGTTTAGCTCATTTAATTTCAGTGATGACCCAATGTAGTCAAGTTTTTTATTTGTCATTTGCCAAGTTTACACACTTGGCATAAATGGCTAACGTTTTGCTGTAAAAACAAACGAAAAAAAGGTCTAAATGCACATAATATTACCCTAATACTCATAACATTCATTCTTTAATTTTCTTTCCAGCTTATTATTATTCCGGGGTCACCACAGTGGAATGAACCGTCAACTTATCCAGCACATGTCTTATACAGCGGATGCCCTTCCAGCTGCAACCCATTTCGGGGAAACATCCACACACACTCATTTACACTCATACACTACGAACCATTTAGCTTACCCAGTTCACCTGTACCGCATGTCTTTGGACTGTGGGCGAAACCGAAGCACCCGGAGAAAACCCATGCAAACACGGGGACAGCATGCAAACTCCACAATAATCATAACAATTTTATTAATAATTAACAATTAATTAACAATAAAATATTGCATTCATTCATTCATTTTCTTTTCGGATTAGTCCCTTTTCTTAATCTGGGGTCGCCACAGCGGAATGAACTGCCAACTTATTCAGCAGGTTTTTACGCAGGGGATGCCCTTACAGCCGCAAGCCATTTTTCTCTGGGAAAATGATATATTTTTAATTATTCAATTTGAAACAAGTAATGATATGTAACATATAGACATGTCTAAAATTTGCTACATTATATATCATTCATTTTCCTTTGGCTTAGACCCTTATTTATCAGGGGGTCGCCAACTTATCCAGCATATGTTTTACACAGTACCCTTTCGGCCACAACAGTATTGGGAAACATTATATATCCCTTTTTAAAAATAATACTAAAAATGAGATGTCATAGTAAATCGGCGTGTAAGAGAAAAAGTTTCATTTGTTATTAGAATATTTTTAATGGATCATAAACACCATCCTAATTAGATTTTGACCAAATAAATCGTTATTACAAATGTGGTAACACTATAACGCAGGATAATTCTGAATTCTGAATGTCAAATATTTTAGCCAAAAAGTCTACATACATGAAGCAGTACAATTAATATTGGTTAGTACATTTGTAGTACATGTGTAGTTATTACAAGTGTAGATTTATTTAAAACAGCCACCATTTTATAACAGTTTTTTTTTCAATCTGTGATGTTCTTACATGCTGCATATCTAGACAAATTCTTAGAATTCCTCCCCTTATTTGTTTTTACATCTAATTAGATAATATCTCCACTGCCACTGCCTTATGTTTTAGACTTTATGAAAGCATTCATGTTCCATATTTTAATATACTTCCATAAAAGTCCTCACCTCTCTCAAAGAAACTCTAAAAGCCCTAGAGAACATCTCAATCTCATCTATGTCTTCAAGGAACAACTAGATTACACACAATGCAGCAACATGCGATTGAGATCCACCCTCTAACTGGGATCACCAGCCATGTCGGTGAGAAGCGAAAAACCACATTTGATTGGCCATCCCACGTGTCAATCTTTCCGCTGTGAAATGTAACCAACACTACCATTGGCCACAGAAAGTGCGTCTGTTTATCCACAAATCCTATTGGTTGAAAATATAGGTTAGTGGTCCGACAGTCACACGAAGGAAAGAAAAGTAGGTCAGAGACTGATTCCGTTTATGTCACAGTTCCTCACGGACCGGGCGTCAAAAAACCGAAATAAACTGTGATGTTGAACTCTTCCTCGGGTAAGTGTGACCGTTTGGCGTTTGACATTTTTTCTCAAAGTGTCGCGGTTTGCTTGTCGATGTATTGTGTGCGGTTTTTGTCCTCTCGCATATTGATTTCAGTAGGAGGGGCGTCCGTGACATTTCCCAGGTTAAATACCTTGGAAGCGATGCAGCTGCAGCCACAACAAAAACATTAGCGGTGTCTGTGATTTAATAAGAAAGGGGTAAATCTTTACAGAGCTTCGCCACAAACCCACACCCATCCTCGATGTGAGGTTAGTGCTCTGCGTCCCCTTTAAGACGGTTGAATAAAGGGAGTACAAGTGTGCCTGAGCCTCTTGTGTGGGTTGGTCACTTGAAAAGGTACTTGCCTTTTTATATGATGTTTACTGGAGTCGCCTTTTAAATTTAGTCTGTGTCTTAAACCCGTTTGTCAAGACAGCGTTTTAAGTGATGCTTTCTAGGTAGGGAGCTGAACTGGAGCTTGATTCATCTAGTTAATGAGTGACGTTATTGTGCTTCCGATTGCGGTTGACTGGGTATTGTGGTGTGGATATTTTAAAGATAGCAGTTTGACAGAACAGAAGAGTGTAAGCTTGGTCACCAGCTAACCATCAAATACGCCTTATGTGTGTGCTGAGTAAGAGCCAGATGCAAATGTGAGTGTGTAGACATCAAACTGACATTGAACGCAAAGAGTATGTGAGAGCTCAACAGGTGGGTTCCAGAAAATGTCTTTTGGGCCACAGGGAATGGATTTTGAATGACAGCTTCTGATAAGGTTTTAAAGACAGTCTGATTGTGAGTATGCACTATCTTTAGTAAACCTGAATTTAGGCATGGACCGGTATAAATTTCTGGAGAAATGATAACCGTGCATAAAAACACTATGGCGTCACGTTATTGTGATTACTGCTCTAAAATAAGTTATTTTTAAATAAATGGGGAAAAATGGGAAAAATTCCCCCCATTGAATACAGTTTATTTTATTTTAAGAAACATTTAATAATAATTAAAGTTATTTAATAATAACTAAATAGTTAAAACAAATCATTAATTTCTGCTGTCTGCATTAGATTGAAAAACAGATTTATTTACAACACAAAAAAAAATGTATTAAAAACTTACTTATACGGGAGATTCTAAAACACTTAACGTGAAAATAAGCTGAAAGTGGCTTAATGTGCCTTAACAACAAGCGGGGAAAATAAAATGTCTATCAAAATTTTACTTGTGATTAACCCTAACTTTGATTTTATGAACAGCCCTTTTAACATTTGGTTTCACTCAGTTGTTGTAAAGTTATTTTAAGCCTTTTATTATCATAGACTTCAATGGGGAGAAAACGCTTGACGTGATATTGTTCACTTTATCTATGGAATTGGGACTTGTCCTTTTTACAGTAGTTGGGGTTAATTACAAATACAATTTGACAGAAATGTGGGTTTCTCTGGTTTATGTTTAAGTATGTTAAGCCACATTAAGCTTTTACAGGTTAAGCATTTTAGACCGTCTCGCATGCATATACCTTGGGAACGGTATAACAGAACATTTTAGTGGTATTAAAACCTTGACTTTTCTATACCACAGTAAACCCTGAAACTGATTATCGTCCCTTGCCTACCTGAAATATAATCTCGATACTCGATACAGCCTAAAAAAAAGTTCAGCCAATGTGCAGCCAAGACCTTCAAATGAAGTTTTTATGTTTCTCTTATTTTTAGTTTGTCAATTAAAATTAAATGCTTCATTTTTAAAATGTCAGATGTTTTTAAGTGAATCACTTAATGTTTTCTTTATGGCCACAGCCATATCACCCTGCAGCCCAAGACCGGTTACTCACTGAAGCTAAGCAGGGCTGAGCCTGGTCAGTACCTGGATGGGAGACCACTAGGGAACACTAGGTTGCTGTTGGAAGTGGTGTTAGTGAGGTCAGCAGGGGGCGCTCAACCTGTGGTCTGCATGAGTCCTAATGCCCCAGTAATAGTGAAGGGGACACTGTACTGTCAGTGGGCGCTGTCTTTCGGATGAGACGTTAAACCGAAAATCCCATGGCACTTCTCGTGAAAGAGCAGGGGTGTAACCCCGGTGTCCTGGCCAAAGTCCCTCTATCGGCCCTTACGATCATGGCCTCTCAATCACCACTTCCACCGAATTGGCTCTATAACTGTCTCTCCACTCCTGGATAGTAGTGATTGTGGTGAGCGCACTGGCGCCAAGTGGATGCTGCACACTGGTGGTTGTGTGGAGAGACCCCCCTCATGATTGTCAAGCACTTTGAGTGTATGGCCATACACAATAAATGCGCTATTTAAATACACACATTACATTACATTTATCAATGTTTTCTTAAATGTGTTTATTTTTCTGCACAACCGTCACATTTTTATGCTTGTATAGAGCACTTCTTTGTTGTTGGTTTACATTGGCACATTCCAACTTTCTCCTTAATGATATACTTTTAGAAAATTATTCTTTGCAAATTCTAAATAGTGAAGTTATGTTAGGGCATCACAGTGGTGCAGTGGGTTGCATGATTCCCTCACAGCAAGAAGGTCGCCCACAGTAGGTGAACTGAATAAGCTAATTGGCCATAGTTTATGTGTGAATGCAAGAGTGTATAAGTGTTTCCCAGACTTGGGTTGCGGCTGGAAGGGCAACCACGGCGTAAAACGTACTGGATAAGTTGCCGGTTCACATAACATAACATTACAGTACATAAGTTAACATTACATAATCTTTGGAGATTTGGAGAAAACTTTGGTTAAAAAAATAATAATAATAATAATAATTAAACTTTTTTTTTTTTCTTTTTTTTTTACATGACAAATTACTCCAGCAGTAGTGTGGTTCATTTTGGTACACCTTATTATTTTTATGGTTGAGTAATTTTTATTTAAGTTACAATGACTAAATGTTTAATGATAATTTGAATATACATTTAATCCTTCATTAATGTTTTCATATTTAAATAAAAAAAAACTTAATTTCAATAATAATACTAATTAATATTTGTTATTTTTATTTAAATTTTTTTTAGAAATGTTAATGTTTACTTTATTTTAATAAACTGAACTAATTTTTTCAATCTGT